CCAAGGCACCAGTTCAGAAGCCAGGCCCCCAGAGTCCACCCTCTCATCCCTGCACTATACTGCTGTGCAAGGTGAGAGGCACTTGAGTCCTTACTCTGACTACCTGTCTGAGAACCAAGGAGGTCCTGGTGGGGTGAACCCAACCACAAGGAAATTTGAATCTCCTCCCAGGTCCTGGCACATATGTCATTCCCCTCGTCACCATCCAGGCCTCTGCTCTGCCGTCAACATCTGAGCTCCAGGACCTGATGGGCTTAGAGTGCAAGCCAGTGATGATAACATGAGGCTCTATGAGCCCTGGAGCAGGGGGCCAGCACTGGAGCCTCCTCTTAGTCCTGTGCCAAAGCAGGCAGTGTCTCAGGTCCAGGCAGGATGGAGAGACAAACAGTATTTGTTGTCATTTATTGAGAATTTCCTGTATCAGCACTGTGCTAAGTGCTTTGCATACAATATCTGTCTCATTTAACCCTTAAAACAAATAAGCAACAACAACATCAACAGCATATTACTATCATTCTCCTTTTCAACTCAGGAAAGCTCAGCTGAGAGCTCCTGGAGATTGTTTGGGGTCCCAAAACTAGCAAAGGGCTGAACAGTGATTCACCAGGTCTGGTTGCCTATGTGCCTTTAACCACGGGGAGGCCCCTGCCTCCTGAGTCATCTTTGAAAGAGGAAAAGACCAGGCAGACGCCTCTCTCTGCCTGCATGCTTTTTGTCCTTTTTTTCCCTCAGAGGAAGGATGAAAAGAAATAAACACCCCAGTCACTTCTCAGAAGAATGTTGTGTCTCTCTCCTGCTTCTCTGTCCCTTCCCCCAAGACTGGAGATAACAAGACTTTTGTCTGAATGCTGGGGGTGTTCATTTTTGTTGGGAACCTTCCAGTTCTCTTACTAGTTTGGAAATTAATGAAGATTTCCCTCCAGCTCTGCAGGATCCAGTGATTTCTCCTGCTTTTGGCTGATTGCAGTGGGGGCGGGTAGCATGACACAGTGTAGCTTCCCTGGCAGATCCCCCTGCTTACACACACACTCACACACTCAGCAAGACCCTTCAGGGAATCTGAGCACGTTTTCCGGGCCTTTTGCCGCCTCTGGTCTTTCAGTCTAAGGACCACCTGCTTGGTTGGCCGGCAGCACTTCCTTGGCGGGGACACTCAGCTGTGTTCACTGTTCTGGCCTGGACAGAGAGGTGCAGTTGGGCTGCCCTGCACCCAGGTCCCCCAATCCGGAGTAGAGGCGGGAGTGGGGGGAACTGAAGGAGGGCCTTGATGCTGGGAGGGGGCTGGACTCCCTGTCGTACCTCTCCCCTAAGGCATTTCTGAGAAGTGGCCTCTTTATCTCTGGTTGGTTGGAAGTTGTCCCCATCACGGGGCCAACTCTGCCCTTCCCTCAAGAGTGAAAGGAACAGCACCCTGTAGAAGCAAGCCATGTGTCTGGACTCCTGGCTCCAGCTGAAGGACAGCCCCGCAGCTTGCAGGAGCAAGTGGTCTAGCATTTGCCAGAGTAGGGGGCTGTGACTGGGTGGGGATGGAGGCTCTGAGCCCTCCAGAGGCTGGGTGGAGTCCCAGACTTGGCCAGAGACTGAATGATCTTGCAGAGAACTGATGGGGATGGGGGATGGGGAGGTGGTTCAGCTCCCCCTGAACATGGGAGGGGCCCAGTGACAATGTGGTTTGATTCCAGCTGCAGAGGCAGAGAGGGACCTAGAAGCAGGCTGGCAGCATTTGCTGCTAGTTCTGATTTGGGGTCCCCACAGGAGGTTTGCTCAGGAAGCTGGGATTTAACACCTGCCGGCTGGGAAGCTGCCAGTCCCCCAGGGGTGGAGGCTGTGCAGGAGGATTTCTTTTTTTGTCTCTCACAAGACTACGATCACTTCCCCAGCCCTGCAGCAGATGGGCAGATGAGATGGGGGCGATGAGGACTGTGATGTGTGCAGGAAGGAAAAACGTGCATTTCAAAAAGAGGGTGGGGGCAAAGATTCCATGTATTTCTTTGGGAGGGTCAGAAAAATCCTGCTGCTTCAAAATGGAGTGGGAGGGGGGTTAATTTTCCAACTGCGAACCAGTGTGGGTCCTAGACAGATTCAAGTTCAGATCCCTGCTCTCTCACAGACTCACAACAGCTAACACTGATTTTTCTGCAAAGGGCTTTCCATGCATAATCTGATTTAAGCCTCCCCAAACTATATAAAGTAAGTGCCACTTTTATTCCCGTTTGCTTCAGATTTACTGAGGTTCTAAGAGATGAAGTAACTTACCCAAGACCACACAGTCTGTGAGGGGTAAGCTGAACCTCCCACCCAGGGACATTGGGCTCTGAAGTCTTCATTCTTAACCCCTGGGCTGTCTGACCTTGGGGAATTTACCTTACTGTTCCCATCCTTCGTGTGCCACATCTGGGAAAAGGAGAGTTGAATTTTATGCTCCCAGGTACCTTCTGAGGATTAAAGGAGAGAAGGTTGTAAAGCTTTTAGCCAATACCTCACCTATAATATCATTCATTCAACCAATAGCTACTTAATGAGCACCTACTATATGCTGGGTGCCTTTATAGGTAGACAAGCTAGAAAATGTCCTGACTCTACCAAAGGGAATGAGCAAATAAACTAAGTAATTTCAGGTTGTGATTTGTATTCTGAATAAAACAAAGCAAAGGATGTTGATGGTAGAAATGTGAAGGTTCATTTTAACATGGTGGACAAGGCAGGCGTCGTTGAAGAAGTGAGAGTTGAGCATAATTCCCAAAGGCAGCAGAAGGCAGCCTGCTCAGTTCAGGGAACTGCAAGTGCAAGGCAAGGACTTGGGCACAGAAAGGTCAGTGTGTCTAGAGCTGTGTGAGCCTGGGCAGAAGCCTGGGGTGGGCAGTCAGTGGGGCGGGCTGTGCTCACACAGTGGACAGCTGTAGGAGGGCCAAATCAAGAGAGCAACGTGATGTAGATTATTGATTTCAGAAGTGACGCTGGCTGCTGTGTAGAAAACTTAGTGTTGGGGCACCTTGATGGGTGGACAGGAGCTAAGGAGGTGGCTGGGATTGCAGAGAGGTGATGGAGGCTGGGCCTAGACAGGAACCCCAGATGGAAAATAGTGGCTCATACTTCCGGTTGGCAGACAGGGCTGCAGCATGAAAAATCCCAGTGAAGAAAGAGATGAACATGCAAGCTGGCAGAAGTTTTCACACGTGATAACTCTCAGACCTCATGCTTACCAAAAGTAGACTTTTTTTTTTCCCTAACACCATCATCTTGCCAGGGAGCTGATATTTTTTAAGCAATGGGACTGTCTACTTTTGGGGGGTCAGTGAGTAAATATAAGTGCATATCCACAGTGTGTGAGGTTAAACTGGATTTCTCTATAGAAAGGGGTAGATAAGCCATTTCTGTAAAGGGGCAGAAAGTAAATATTGTCCTTTTCAGGAGCCTTGCCATCTCTTGTGGGAACGACTCAGCTCTGCTCAAAGGCAGCCATAGACAATGAATAAAAGAATGGGCGTGGCTCCGTTGCAATAAAAAAATTTTTTAAGTTTATTTTTTTTATTTATGCATACAAGAACTGGGGTATAGGCCAGAGGTGTGGGGGTGAGAAGATTCACCAGAGACAGAGTGGGGAACAGAACAGGCAGACTGACTGAAATACACTCCTGAGGGGAGCAGCAGGCAAGAGAGGAGAGGTCTGCTATGCCATGTGGGCTAGCTCCTTGGCCGGGGATCGAACTCAGGTGCTTCAGTGGCTCCCCATAGGTTGCTAGTGCTGAGATTTAACCCCTTGCACCACTAGGGAGGCCCGCAATAAAATTTTATTTGGGAAAACGGAGCTGGAATTTGACTGTGGATCATGGTTTGCCAACTCTGGTACAAGGTATGCATTTATACAACTCAAATAATTTTTTCCCCTACAAAACCATTTCAAGATGTTTCCCCTTAGCTCTTTTGTAAAACCAGGGTGCATCTCACATGCCTGCGCTTATCTCAACACTAGAAAATATGGTGGAATTTAATAGCCAATCAGTCCAGTGGTTTTCAGCTCTTAGGAATCCGTTAGTGGCAGCACTGGGGACGAAGGTGGGTGAAGGTGAAGGGGTTTGGGCTTCTGCTTCTGCTTCAACCAGAACCCCTCTCTCGGTCTCTCTTTACACACACACACACACACACACACACACACACACACACACACACACACACGACTCTAAAGAAGTCCTAAGAGTTGAAAACTACTGGACTGAGCGACAAACTACCATATATATTACATACATAAATACATACATATATATATATATACACACACACACACACACACACACACACACACACACACAGAGCGGGGGGGCGGGGTTTCATAAGCGTTTTGTATGAAAAAAGGTGTTGGGAGCTAAAAAAAATTTCAAACCGTGAATCCAGTCCAACTGATTGGAGATCATTTTTCTCTTCCAGTGCCATGCACTGGGAAGACATTTATTACCTGATTGCTCACAGAAGCCATTAATGCTGGATGGAGGGGAGCTCAGCAAAGAACTGCTTTGGGGTTATATTTGTGGGGTAGAGAATGTGCAGCAAACACAGATCAAAGGGTCACAGGCAGATTTAGACTCCAGATGAGGGCCGCAGTGTTCTGTGGCTAGAGCTGCAGCGAGCGTGTTCTCCTGAGCCCACTCGGGAGCAGGTGGAAGGTGGCCTGAGGCCGCATGCGAGAGGAGTCTGCAGAGGTGGGAGTGGCTTGGACTTCACGTTTGGACAGTTGGGTCTGAACACTCTGCCCTTTCACTGAGCAGCTAGAGACAAGTCAGTTGACTCTCTGGGTATCCAGCTTCCCAGCTGGAAAACAGACGCTACCACCTCCCATATGGGGATTAAATGAGCGCCCCTATCCACACTGCTAGCACATTGCCAGATGCTGGAGAAATACTAATTTTTTCTTCTGTTCTGGTCTCAGGGGTCTTCCATCTGAGACCCCTGGAGAATTTCCACCCTCTGACTCCATTTTCTGTGCCCCAATGTTCTCTTCTCAGGATGTGGCCAGATCCTGCGAGCCCCGAAGGGTCAGATTTTGCTGGAGAGCTACCCCCTCAATGCTCATTGCGAGTGGACCATTCACGCCAAGCCTGGCTTTATCATCCAGCTCAGGTAAAGGGTGGGGGTCAGGGGGCTGAGGGGCTTGGGAGCCTGAGGGTCTCAGGAGACACTGAACTAAGACTGAGGACCCTGAATCCCAGTGACCAAGCGTTACCCATCAGCACTTTATTCTCAAAAGCAGAAGAGGTATGGAGAAGCCGTTCTTCACCTCAGTCATTCTGTGGGATTAGGCCTGGTTAAAATTACAGTCAATGAAATGACTGTTCTCACCACCCTAGAACAATGGGGCTCGGATAGCTTTGACCCAAGGATAAAGCCAACAAAGCAAATTACTGAGAGCAATCTACCCACCCACACACCTTCACCAAGTCTTCCTGTCACAGCTCAGACATGTGGGGGGCTTGGTGGGTTTGGACTGTCTCCTTGCAGACCAGGCCGATTGCCACTCTTTTTAGACCTGTTCATCATCAGGATCAGGGGCCAGGGTCAGGGCCCATCTGTGTCCTGCTGTCACCTTCTCCACACACAGGTTTGTCATGTTGAGCCTGGAGTTTGACTACATGTGCCAGTATGACTATGTCGAGGTCCGTGACGGGGACAACAGTGACGGCCAGATCATCAAGCGTTTCTGTGGCAACGAGCGGCCAGCTCCCATTCAAAGCACCGGCTCCTCGCTCCATGTCCTCTTCCATTCAGATGGCTCCAAGAATTTCGATGGTTTCCATGCCATTTTTGAGGAGATCACAGGTAAAGGTCATGGAGACAAATGGAGCATTTCATGTCTGTGCTCCAGGCAGACATTTCTGTTCTGTGTACCTCTGCTTCTCCCTACTCAGTCTTGTTAAAACCTAGACTCCTGGGCCTCCCTGCTGGTTCAGAAAGTTAAGACGCAACCTATGAAGCTATCCACAGGTAATGCAGCACGAGTTCAATCCCCAGCCAGGGAGATACCCACATGGCGTAGCAGACCTCTCCTGACTTGACCACTGCTCCCCTCAGCAGTGTATTTCAGTCATTCCACCTGTTCTGTGCCCCACTCTGTCTCTGGTGAATCCTCTCACCCCCACACCTCTGGCCTGTACCCCAGTTCTTGTATGTATAAATAAATAAATCTTTAAACAAAAAAAAAAACACCCTAGACTCCTGAGTTTTCAGAGGCACCCAGCATGTGAGAAGGAAGAGAGAAATGCAAGGTGTGTTTCAAAAATGTGCACCCAGAGCCAGAACTGGGAATTATTCCCTTGTACAGATGCTGCAGCACAGAGAGGCTAGGTGATTTGGCCAAGGTCACACAGCTATGGGGGTTGGAATTAGGAATTTTCACATAAACAATTTGATCCAGGGCTCACACAAAGTGGCCTCTCCTGGCTAAGAGTGTTAGTTTGGGGTCTCCAGTAGATTAAGCTGTGTGGTCTTGGTAAGTTCTACTTCTCTAATCAGGGAGAAGAGAATGGATCCTGCTCCATTTAGGAGACTCAGGGAGACGATGTATGTAGAGCTCAGCAAGGTGTCTGGTACTGAGGAAGCATTTGTTAGTTGCTCTACTCCAGCAGTGCCTGAGCCTAAAATAAGTGGCAAAAGCCATTTATTTCATGAGAATGCAAAGCTTCACTGCAACGCCCTGTTCATACTAGGAAGCAGGAATTGACCAAAATGAACAGGATGCCCCATCCTGAGCAACCCCTCCAGCTCGTACCATTTTAAGATTGCATTGCATCGGGTTTTACAAAATAAGCTCAGGCTTGAAGTTCCAGTTTTTTAAAAATACTGAATTTAAAAAGTGCTGTTGTGGCACTTTGAACCCGAAGGCTTCCTTATGGAAGGTATGATACACACTCAGGAAGAGGGAGAGGATGTGACCGTGGAATCAGGCTTTATCCAGCCCTGTCCTTTCAGCAAGAGCTGCCACCCCAACTTCCCCAGCCTCAGAATGTTCCTCTGTGAGCTCTCAGCAGTTGCTCTTTGTGATCTGTTCCTGCCTCCTTCTGATCACATCCCTGATGGAGCTTTCTGGGGCCTAGAGTGACCTGAGGTTTCTAGATCTTAGCTGCCCTGCATGGTTGGCTCTGGCTGAAACCTCACTCCTTGAGGATGAGGTTGGAGGTGAGCAGGGTCACACTTGAGGTGCATCTGGGGCATTTGCAGCAGGCCAGTTGGGAGCAGCAGTGGCTTGCAAGCTTGTGACCCTCTGAAATTAAAGTCGGCTCCCCTACACCTGCACACGGAGCCCCCTGTACTATAGGTTCCTAATCAGGCTTCTCCTCCTCTGCTAAACCTTCCCTCTTGTTCCAGAGGGCTGTGACGTTGCCCTTTCTTGTACCTCTTGCAAAGCTTTCTCCTCTTTTCTGACACTATCTGTATTATGCTTCAGGTTATAGTCACTGTGTACTTCAAATATCTTTGATCTGGCAAGATCATCTTTATGTCTCTCCAGTGCCTTACCCAGAGAGAAGCCTCAATACAGGCTTGCTGAACTGGGTCAAGCAATAAATTTCCACAGGGGAGTCAGTGAGTGGAGATAACAAGCAGACTAGTGCTTCCCAAAATGTTTTCTGCAGGAAAAATGGTCCCCAAGACAGGCAGGTCAGATAAGCTTGGGAAAGGCTGAACATCGTGTACAGTCTTAGAAAGTTCTAATGCACATTAGGGCATTAAATGTTCTGAGAATGTCTGCAGTAGAAGAATCTGGTTCATTGTCAAAAATTAACTTTTTTTATTTAAATTTTTTTATGTATAGAAGAACTGGGTTGTATGCCAGAGGTGCAGGGTAGGGGTGGGGGTGGGGGAGAGGATTCACCACAGACTGAGTAGGGAACTGAACAGGAGGATTGACTTAAATACACTGCTAAGGGGAGCTGCAGGTGAGACAGGAGAGGTCTGCTGTGCCATGTGGGTCAGCTCCCTGGCCAGGGATTGAGCTTAGACCACAGCGGTGATAGTGCTGAGACTTTACCCCTAGGCCATCAGGGAGGCCCAGGTTCATTGTTGTTTAATACCAGAAATGTTTCTCCACCATATTTGAGCCCAGAATCGTTTTTCAGTTGGTCCCAAAAGCATCTCAAGGGACTAACATTTACAGGATGTGTATTTGGAAACTCTTGAGCATATTTTATTTCTTGTTTATTTCTTTTTATTTGTTTTTTTTTTTAATTTTATGTATTTTTACATCATTTTTCATTTTTTGTGCAATATATGCATTTTCATCTTGGTTACAGCCCTCATACAATTCTCACACTCCCTTGCTTTGATCCCACTCTCTCCTCCCCCACTGCAGTGCGTCTCTGGTTTATAGTTGCTTGTTGATTTTGATTTTTACTTTATTATAATTAGTCTTTTTCCTGGTCCCTTATTTAGGTTTTCTAAATCCCTGCTATGAGTGAGATCATCCGGTATTTTTCTTTTTCTTTCTGGCTTATTTCGCTGAGCATGATCCCTTCCAGCTCCATCCATGTTGCTGCAAATGGCATGAGTTTATCTTTTTTGAATGCTGAGTAATATTCCATTGTGTATATGCACCACATCTTCTTGATCCAGTCATCTATTTTTGGGCATTTGGGTTGTTTCCATAGCTTGCCTATTGTAAATAGTGCTGCAATAAATATAGGAGTGCAGGTGCCCTTTTGAATTAATGTTTCTGTGTCCTTTGGGTAAATACCTAGGAGTGGAATTGCTGGATCATATGGAAACTCCATCTTTAGCAGGTTGAGGAATCTCCACACAGCTCTCCATAGTGGTTGGACCAGTTTGCACTCCCACCAACAGTGCAGGAGAGTTCCTTTTTCTCCACATCCTCACCAACATTTGTTGTTGCTAGTTTTTTTAATATGTGCCATTCTCACTGGTGTAAGATGGTATCTCATTGTAGTTTTGATTTGCATTTCCTGATTACAAGTGATGTTGAACATTTTTTCGTATACCTGTTGGCCATTTGCATTTCCTCTTTGGAGAAGTTTCTTTTTAGCTCTTCTGCCCATTTTTTTTTTTTTTAAAGATTTATTTATTTATTTTATACAAGAACCGGGGTACAGGCCAGATGCATGGGAGAGTGAGAGAATTCACCAGAGACAGAGCGGGGAATAGAACAGGCAGACCGATGAAATACACTGCTGAGGGGAGCAGCGGGTGTGACAGGAGAGGTCTGCCATGCCATGTGGGACCCTCGGTGGCCGGCCGGGATCGAACCCTTGCTGTAGAGGCTGCGGACAGCTTCACAGCGCTGCACTCAACTGCCTGCGCCACCAGGGGAGGCCCTTCTGCCCATTTTTTGACTGGATTATTTACTTTGTTTTTGTTGAGTCTCATCAGGTCTTTGTAGATTTTTGTGATCAGTCCTTTATCATTAGTGTTGTGTGCAAAAATTTTTTTCCAATTAGTGGCGTGTCTCTTTGTTTTGGTTACTGTCTCTTTTGCAGTACAGAAGCTCTTTAATTTGATGTAATCCCAGCTGTTTGTCTTTGCCTTCACTATCACTGCTTTGGGTGATGAGTCTTTAAAGATGTTACTGAGGTGTATGTCATGTAGTGTTTAGCCTATATTTCCTTCTATATATTTTATGGTTTTGGGTCTTATGTCTAGTTCTTTAATCCATTCATTCTTTTGCATGTAGCAACCCAATTTTCCCAGCACCATTTATTGAACAAACTTTCTTTGCTCCATTGCGTATTCTTTGCTCCTTTGTCAAAGATTAGTTGACCATAAGTCTCTGGGTTTATTTCTGGATTTTCTATTCAGTTCCATCGGTCTGTGTGGCTGTTCTTGTTCCAATACCATGCAGTTTTGATGATTATAGTTTTGTAATATAGTTTAAAGTCTAGAAGTGTGATACCTCTGTTCTCATCTTTTTTTTCAGGAGTGCTTTGGCTATTTGGGATTTTTGGTGGCTCCACATAAATTTCATCAATATTTGTTCTATTTCTTTGAAGAATGTCATTGAAATTTTTATTGGAATAGCATTGAATCTGTAAATTGCTTTTGGTAGGATGGCAGTTTTGATAATGTTAATTCTTCCAACCCATGAGCAGGGGATGCCTTTCCATTTCTTTGTGTCTTCTTCTATTTCTTTTAACAGTGTTTTATAGTTTTCTTTGTATAGGTCCTTTACCTCATTTGTTCGGTTTATTCCCAAGTATTTGATTTTTTGGTTTCAATAATAAAAGAGATGGTTTTCTTGATTTCTTCTTCTTCAGATTTATTGTTTGTGTATAGGAAGGCTACTGATTTTTGTGTGTTGATTTTGTATCCTGCTACTTTACTAAACTGATTAATTAGTTTGATTAGTTTTGTTGTGGAGTTTTTGGGGTTTTCTATGTATATTATCATATTATTTGCAAATAGTGATAGTTTAACTTCTTCCTTCCCTATTTGGGTTCCTTGTATGTCTTTCTCTTGTCTTATTGCTCTGGCTAGGACTTCCAATATTATATTGAAAAGCAGTGGTGAGAGTGGACATCCTTGTCTTGTTCCAGATCTTAATGGGAATACTTTCAGCTTTTCCCCATTGAGAATGATACTGGCTGTTGGCTTGTCATATATGACCTTTAGGATGTTGAGGTATGTTCCTTATATCCCGAGAATTTCATAGGCCTTTATCATAAATGGGTGTTGTACTTTGTTGAAAGCTTTCTCAGCATCTATTTATATTATCATATGGTTTTTATATTTCTTTTTGTTGATGTGTTGGATTACATTAATTGATTTTCAGATGTTGAACCATCCTTGTGTCCCTGGAATAAATCCTGCTTGGTTGTGGTGAATTATCTTATGGATACATTTTTGGATTCTGTTAGCTAAAATTTTATTGAGGATTTTTGCATTAGTGGTCATTAGAGAGACTGGCATGTAGTTTTCTTTTCTTGTGCTGTCCTTGTTTGGTTTTGATATTAGTGTGATGTTGGTTTCATAGAATGTGTTTGGTATTATCTCTTCCTTCTCAATTTTTTGAAAGAGTTTATGAAGGATAGGTACTAGTTTGATTCTGAATATTTAGTAGAATTCATTTGTAAATCCATTTGGTCCTGGGCTTTTGTTTTTGGGGAGGGTTTTGATTAGAATTTCAATTTCACTGCTTGTAATTGGTATGTTTATGTGTTCTATTTCTTCTTTATCTAGCTTTGGGTGATTGTAAAGTTGTAGGAATTTGTCCATCTCTTCTAGATTGTTGAATCTGTTTGCATATAACTGTTCATAGTAGTTTCTGATTATTCTTTTGATATCTGCTGTATCTGTTGTGATTTTTTCTCTTTCATTTGTGATCCTATTTATTTGTGCTTTTTCCCATTTTTCCCTTGTGAGCCTGGCTAGGGGTTTGTCTATTTTATTTATTTGTTCAAAGAACCAACTTTTAATTTCATTGATCTTTTGGATTGTTTTTTTAGTTTCTATTTCATTTATTTCTGCTTTGATTTTTATTATTTCCTTTCTTCTACTGGTTTTGGGGGGGGTTTTTTGTTGTTCTTTTTCTACTTCTTTGAGATGTATGATTAGGTTCTTTCTTTGAGTTCTTTCTTGTTTCTTGATGTGAGCCTGTATTGCTATATATTTTCCTCTCATTACTGCTTTTGTTGCATCCCATACATTTAGGAAATTGGTATCCTCCTTGTCATTCAACTCAAAGTGTTTTTTAATTTCCTCTTTGATCTCCTCATTAGTCCAGTGGTCTTCCAGTAGTATGGGTTTCAATCTCCATGAGGTAGGAGCGTTCCTTGCTTTCTTTTTATGGTTTATTTCTAGCTTGATGCCTTCATGGTCAGAGAAGATGGTTGGTATGATTTCAATCTTGGTGTATCTGTTGATGTTTGTCTTGTGTCCCAGTATGTGATTGATCCTGGAGAATGATCCATGTGCGCTTGAGAAAAATGTGTACTCAGATTTTTGGGGGTTTAGTGTTCTATAGCTGTTGGTTAAGCCCATGAGGTCTAGATCCTTATTTAGAGCTTTAGTGTCCTTACTTATTTTTTGTCTAGTTGATCTATCCATTGTTGATAGTGGTGTGTTGATGTCTCCTACTACATATGTATTTTCTCTGATGTCTGTTGTCAGAGATGATAATAGTTGTCTGATATATTTTGGTGCGCCTTCATTTGATAAGTATATGTTAATGAGTGTTATGTCCTCTTGAAGTATTGTCCCCTTGATCATAATGTAGTAACTGCCTGGGTCTCTTTTTACCTTTTTGAGTTTGAAATCTCTCTTATCTGATATAAATATAGCTGTTCCTGCCTTCTTTGTTTGGTCCATTTGCTCGTAGGATTGTTTTCCATCCTTTTACTTTCAGTCTATTTTTATGTTTTGTGGTTAAATGTGTTTCCTGGAGACAGCAGAAGGTTGGGTTTTGTTTCTTAATCTAGCCTGTGACTCTGTATCTTATTATTGAAGAGTTTAGTCCATTTACATTTAGAGTTAATATTGATATGTTAACGTCTGTATTTGCCATTTTGTTTGTCTTTTATCTGGTTTTATTTTTTTTTTTAATTTTTTTTTTGGTCTTGTTTCGTTCTTATTCATCCCTCTATTGGTTGTGGCTTTAGGACTCCTTGTAGTATTTTTTGGAGTGAGGGTTTAGTTGTAATGAAATTCCGGAGTTTCTGTTTGTCTGAGAAGGTCCTTATTCATAGAGGAAGGAAAGCTTTGCGGGATAGAGTATTCTTGGTTGGCATTTGTTGTCTTGGAGTTTGTTGACTATGTCCCTCCATTCTCTCCTTGCCAGTGGTGTTTCTTTGGAGAAGTCTGATGTCAGCCTGATTGGTTTTCCTTTGTATGTTATCTGTTTCTTCCCTCTTGTCAGCGTCATTATTTTTTCCTTGTCTTGGATTCTTGGGATCTTTACTATTATGTGTCTTGCTGTATTTTTCCTTTCATCATGGAAGTTTGGTGATCTTCTTACTTCTTGTATGTCTGTTTTCATTGAGCACACTTAAGAAGTGTCACAAAGACCATCTTTCAGTTCCTTTCCCCAGCACCCAGATGCTGAACTTCCTTGAAAAGAGTTGATCTAAACTCCCCAAGACTGCTTCTTTCCCAGAGTCCTTATGGGGCAGGTAAGGTCATGGTCCTGCTTTTATCATGTGCTGTGCTGGCTTGTGTATTGCCTTTAGGGTCTTCAGACTAGAGGTTTCTGGAGCAAACTTCTGGGTCCTTCAGAAACTTGCAGAAAAATAGGAGTATGAATTCAAGAAAAGGATTTTAAAAACTACAAGAAGATTTTAATAGACTGTGAAAGACTGATGAGGACTCCAGACTTGAAGAAATCAACTCTCTGCAATTCACACTAATGGAAATTGCCTTTGTCTTTCAGCCTGTTCCTCATCTCCTTGTTTCCATGATGGCACTTGTGTCCTTGTGCAAACTGGATACTACAAATGTGCCTGCCTGGCAGGTTACACTGGGAAGCAGTGTGAAAACCGTGAGTGTGCCTCCGGAGTGGGGGTTAAGTTCCTGGTGGGGTGATGTGGGAAGAGCCTTGGGAATTTGCTGGGCCTGTCATTTCTTTGTATCTAGGGTGGGCTGTCAAATGTGGTATATGATGCAGACACACCCATGGGGTAGATCTCAGGAAGACAGGACTGCCTGAATCAGTAATTCTAGAACCTTCTTGGTTTGCTTATTGACATAATCATCCCTTACCTGCTGCATATACCTATCAAAGACACATGCCCTCAGTGGTCTTGAGTAATATTCAGAGCTCAAAAGGGTCAACAACAGGAAGCCACCTTCAATGTTCTTCAGAGTCTGAACTCCCTCTACATCCAAAGATCTGAATTTTGGATCGGAACTCTGCACGGTTTGTTGCACAGTTGAAACCCTGCACTGAGGGTGGCAAACATGTAGGGTAACTGTGAGCCTCAGTTTCTCAGGGACAGCCCCAGTGTATGCATTTTTGTTTGGGCATGAAACAGAGTGTCATTATAATCATACCCAAAGTGTCCTGAATTGCATCATCATCTGTAAATATGGGAACATGTTAGGGGAGTAACAAACCAGCCAACCAGCATTTACTGAGGGATCACTGTGTGTTGGGCTCTATGGGAAACAGGTGAAAAACACACTTTCTCTAAGTGAGCTTGTTTTAGTTGGTAGAATACGCCCCATGCTTTTCTAGTCGTTCTTGAGTAGGCCTGAAATGAGCAGGAGTTGTGGGGTTGGTACAGGCTAGAGGAGTCACAGAGTGAAAGGATTTTTCAGACTCTGATGTCACTCAGTTATCATTCTCCAAGTTAGCCCTCCTTACTCTGTAACCAAGTTCCTCACCACTCCCTGCCTAACCATACCTGACTGTCCCATTGAATCACCCCTCTTGGCCAGTTCTTGCAGATCGAAGTTAAAAGAACACTAGTCACCCTAAGTAACCTGGGATCAACCAAACAATGACCAACTCCAAAGCAGGCAGGCGTTTCTAATTCATGTTACGCAAAGGCAGGGCATGATTCTCCTCTGATATTAGATTCAAACTTTTTCCACAGAAGGGGAGAAACTAGAACTTGTTGAGTCAAATGGCCAACCCTTGCTTTTGGGAAGAGTGTCTGCAGACCACTGCATGTGGCAGTACCAGGACCGTCAGCCCTGCTGTGTGGTACCTCTGACTGTGCCTTTGGCGGAGAGGGACTTAGATACTTCAACAAGAAATCTTTTACCAGGGGGATCTGGTAACCAAGACCTTGTTTGAGACATAAACAGGTGTCACAAGCTACAGGTGTCACATATGTGCAGATCTACAGAAGTTGTGCAAAAGAACAAGAAGAATTGTAATTTAGGGTTGGAACCGAAAGAAGACAGATAATGATCTAGGCATGGATCCTCAGAAGCATGTCCGTAGGTGTGTGAATGTGTGTGCAGGTGATGCACTGAGGACATGTTCCCAAAAGAAGCAGGTAATGGAGAAGGGAAGCTGGATCGATAAGAAAATCCAGCAAAGGGGTGATTTCAGGCAAAATCCCAGCTGGCAGTAAGAGTTGGAATGTAAATACATCTCAAAGCGTGTCCTGACTTTAAAGCAGGGCTGCTGGGCTTTCATACCCCCACTGCAAATCAGCCCCTGGCTAAGTGCTGCCCTGGGCATGAATGAGGACACTCCTGGCTTGTTATGCATGTGCCCGTGAGCAGAAGGATTGCAGCTGTGGGCCTTTGGAAGTGAAACAACATAGCATGGGACAGGGGGGTGGAGAGGCAAGAGGTCCCCAGAAACAATGAAAAGGCATCTAAGCAGAAGCAATGGCTGCTTCAATCACTTCTAACTGGTATGCATAGGTACTTTGGGGTCCTTCTAACAGGGCCTGGTCTGACACGTTCTAGAAAGTTCATCCATTTTTTCAGTGAATTTCATCAGTGTTTTCCTGCAAAGAGTATAGATGAAGACATACTATTATGTCTTGAGTGGGCTTCTGGGTTCTTCCAGAAGCATCCCTTGCTTTGGTTGTGACAGCTGATCTGAATGTGGTGACACTGAATAGTTAGAGAATGATGTTCTGCTTCATGATCCTGCCTCATTTGTGGTACACAAGCAGAGAAGAGTGGAGCTGCCTTCTCTGTTGTGGGTATTTGTATGTAGAGTGATTCTGGAGTCTTATAATGCCAGATCTTGAGTTTTACTTTCAGGTCCAGAGGGGGAGACTAAAAAGGTTAGACTTGATTTCTAGATGAACTGACTATATGGTATTTGTGTTTTGATACACAAAGGTTAAAATGGAGAGAAGTAAAATATCAACAAGTAATGCAAAATGACTTCAAGAAGCTGGGTCAAATCAGGGCTGGAAGGTGGGGAGAAACTGGTACAAAAGTTGTGACTGAAATATTTATGAGTCATTTATGAGCCAAAATTCGACTTCCCAGCATTGTTATTCTACCCAGAAAACAAAACCCAAAACAAATATACATAATGAAAAAATGTAAGCTATGTCATTATGACCTGATTCATAACTTGATTCATAAACCATCTCAAATGACTTAATCTCAAAACAGCAGCTATAAACTCACAAGAGAATTCTTAGCCTCCTTTCGAAATACTCAAAAACCACAATTTCCTTTCTTCTCTATCATCAAAACTGGGGAGGGTGGTGGTGGTGGATAGTGGATACATCAGTTTCGTGGCATCATTGTGGGGACTCCACATGTTTTATTGTTTTCTGTAAGATTTAGGCTTGTTTTGCCTTCTAGGAAATTCATCACTCACTGCAGCTAACTCACTGAGGGAAGTCTTGCAATAACTGACTGTGGCAGTTTACCTTATAATTCCTGAACAAATCTTAGCCATTTTGCCAGAGCAGTCAATCATCTAGAATAAAAAATAAAAACTTTTTTTCCTTCAGGAATGGATTAGTGAAAAATCTCATTAAGGAAATTCTTTCAAAATGAACAAGAAACCCAAGCAATCTGGGGTTCCACAGCTATGAAATACCCAAATTGAATGAGGCACTTGTTTAAAACAATAGCTTTAGAAGCACATATTAATGAGAATTGCTTCTTTTATTTATGTAGTGCCAAGTCTGATGAGGGGACACTGCTCGCAGACACCTCTTTGATGGTCTATCAGAAAGTCTTTGTGGAAGGATTCCTTTTAGCAAATGAGAGATTAGAAGCAGAGAATGCAAGACACGGGTACCCATCAAATTAAAAATCAGAGGCCAGGACTCCACACTGCTCACTCTGTGCATGCTCTGTCCCACATGCTTCTCACCACGGGTCTGGGTAAGACTCCAGATGATAAGCAGTGAGTTCTGTTTGTGTCATGGTGTCATTATCATGTCGGCTCAAGGCCTCCCCACACCAGGTGAGGCTCTCCTGTCATTCCTTTCCATGGAGAATACTGACTATCTGTTGATATAAGATATAAGGGGATTCTCTTTATTTTCTGTGAGTCTGTGAGTGGGAGAAGAATAGAAATCAGTTCTCAATTCAATTATTGAAGAACTATATATTTATTTTTTTACATTTATTTTATTCATTTATGCATGCAAAAGCTGGGAGATAGGCCAGAAGTGTGGAGGGGGACTGTGAGAAGATTCACCAGAGACAGTGGAGAGCAGAACAGGCAGATTGACTTTAATACACTGCTGAGGGGAGCAGCGGGCGAGACAGGAGAGGTCTGCTGTGCCATGTGGGTAGCTTCCTGCCCAGGGATCGAACTCGTGCTGCAGTAGCTGCCAATAGCTTCATAGTGCTGAGATTTTAACTCCTTGTGCCACCAAGAGAAGAACTCTATATTTATAAAAACAATCAAACAGTACTAAGTATAAACAAAAAAGAAAATATTGTTTTGCCTGAGTGATGTATTTCCCAGCAGAACCTCGATTAAGAATTTGTGATATCCTTCCTGACTTTCTTGTGTGGTATACAGTGCATAGACATCATTTCAAACCAGTGGTTCTCTACTGGGGGCAATTTTTTCCTTCACTCCTAGGGCACATTTGACTATGTCTGGAAATATTTGTGGTTGTCATAACTGGAGGAGGCTGGCATTATAGCAGCTATTGGGTAGAGGTAGTGGCGGGCGGGGCTGCCAAACTCCCTATGATGCACAGGACAGCCCCCACAACAGAGTTATCTTCCCTAAATGTCACTTCTGCCAAGGTTGAGAAACTCCATTTTAAATGAAAGTGGATTGCAATATACATGCAGCTTCTCAGCTTGTTCTCAGGGTCCATATCATGGATTTTTTTTTTTTTTTCTGGGTCAGTCTGTGTTGATCTACGGCATTTGAAAAAATGATTGCTGAGTATCCCATTGTCTAGATGCATATTCGATCACATAGTCTTTCAACCCCTTACTATAGTTTCTTGATATAACTTGTAATTTTTTACCATTATGCAGAAGAGCTGCGATGAATATCCTAACCTCTATTTCTTGGTTCACTTGCAGGGGTATTTTCGTAAGATACATTTCTAGATGTTGAGTGGTTAGTTCGAAAGGTACAGGTATTTAAACTTTTGAACTGTTGTTGAAATAAATGGTCATGAGATTTCACTACTCACCCTACAAGATGAGCTGTTATAAACACCAGTTCTTAAAATAAGAATTGAAATGGGTATTTCAGAAATGAAGGCCTATTTTGTCAAGCTGGAAATGGATTTCTTTTTAGTGGAATTCCATGGGTCTGAGGGGAGATTTCTTGTTCCCAAGTCATAAAGAAAAAAATAGGCAAAGAGGAGGGAACAGGTAAAGAGGTAGGTAACAGGAGATGCTCAGGTTGGCCTTGTTCAGTTCAACTGGCCTTGGTGGGGTGTGTGACCACCTCAAATATACCCAGGCCTCTCCTTAGGTGCTCTCTCGGGGAGAAAAAAACTTTCCCCTGCTCCCAGGTGACCTTCTCTGAGAACAAAAAAAAAGGGGAGTGGCCCTCTCCACAACTTTGAGGCCAAGCTAGCTTCCTGCCAGCACCCTCAGCGACCCCCAGGCTCCCAGGCCACCATGTAGGAAACTGGGCCCCCTTTTTTCCTCTGAAGTTTCCTGTTTCTTTGTATGGAGCACAAGGACAAAATAAGTTCTTGAGTAAATGGTCGGAATCTTGTTTTGAAAAAGTGGAGCGTGAGGGATTCAGTGCCCTGCTCCAATTTCCATGTGGCCTTTGTTCCTCTGGCCCAGTTGACGATGCTGGGTCTCCCCCCTGCATCCTAATGAAGGACGATGAAATGGGCTGAATCTTGGGGCACAATACTCACCCTGCAGGCCCTGACGCGCCTTGGAACAAAACAAATCAGCTTCTACCAATTAAAGAAAAATGGTGAATCTGGATTCATTTGGATTTTGGAGCATCGGAAGGTTTCCCACTAGCCTGTCCCAGGGGCTGGGAAGAAAGGAGCACAGGCTGAGAAGCTCACTGTATCCTCCAGCTTCAAAGGGGAGCCCGTCTTTCTCAGCAGAACAAGGGATTAAGAACTTGGGAGTTTTCATGGAAATGTTATCGCAGCTGCAGTGAGAATGAGCTGAGAACTCACCTCTCCCATCTCAGACAGGAATAATGTGCTACGGGCTTGGTGGTATATTAATGCCAACTGCTCTGAGATCTCTTAAGGGAGGCATTATAAATTGACTTCTTACCTGGCTTTTTTCATTGTTCCAAAGCCTCATCTTGTCTTTCCTATATGGAAAATCTTCCTTATGAAAATGCTTTACAGAAGGTGTCCTTTTGTCCATGGTGAGATGGTGCCTGGCTTCTGGTTAGTAAGACCTGCGTTTTACTCTGAGTCTAAATTGACTGTTTGGGTGGCCTTGAGTAAGTCATCTAACTCCTATTTGCCTCAGTTTTAGTTATAATGTCCAGAATAAAACCATATATATCCTGCCACGCCCGCTGCTCCCCTCGGCAGTGTGCTTCGTCAGTCTGCCTGCTCTGCTCCCTGCTCTGGCTCTGGTGAATTCTCTCACCCTCCCACACTTCTGACTGTACCCAGTGCTTGTATAAATAAATAAAAATAAATCTCTTAAAAAAAAAATATTATCTCTGCTTGTGGGGATGAATGAAATGATCAACATAGCACTGGGCTGGGTAACATTATCATTTACAATGCTGGCCCCATGTTATGGTCATTTAAAAGTTGGTAGAGGGCCTTCCCGGTGGCGCAGCGGTTGAGCGCTGGGTTGCGAAGCTGCCCACAGCCTCTGCAGCGCCAGTTCGATCCCTGGGCAACGGGGTGAGGGTCCCACGTGGCACGCAGACCTCTCCTGCCGCCCGCTGCTCCCCTCAGCAGTGTGCTTCATCAGTCTGCCTGCTCTGCTCTCCGCTCTGACTCTGGTGAATTCTCTCACCCTTCCGCGCTTCTGACTGTACCGAGTGCTTGTATAAATAAATAAATCTTTTTAAAAAAAATAAATAAATAAAAGTTGGTAGAAAGCAGGGGATTTTTCCAGATAAGGGATTAGGGCATCAGCACTGGTTTTGACAGGTCAGGTGATCATAACAAACCATCCTTAGGGCTCCAGGGTTTAAGAAGATTCTTCCCAAGTTTTCTAAGTGTCCTCTGTATACTGACCATCCCAAATCATTGTTAGACACTGGGATTGCTACCAATGCACAGGCGCCTGGTAGAAGAAAGAAAGATATGGTTTTGAAAGGGCATATAGATACTGCCAGTGTTATTATACTAAAGGAACCCTGGGTTCAAGGAGAAGACACTACATTGGGTATGACAGATGAGCAGACTTTGAAGCCAGGGCAGCCTGGAGAAGAGCTGTTAGGATTGATTAATGAAGTCATGTCAGAAAAACTGGATTTCAAAACTCCAGAATAGTCTCGCAGAATATCCTGTTATTGGATCAGCCTCCCTTGTTCTCATGGGGTTTTTCAGGGGTCACTTATTTAAGGGACTCTGTGTCACCCCTTGGTGAGTGTAAGGGCCCCAGAACATCACTTAGGTATTTATTAGAGGCATGGGGCAAAAAAGGACAATGAACAGTCTAGCTTGAGAGGGTCTGAGGGGCACTGGGATAGTTCCATGAAAAAAATCCTGGGGAATTCAGAGAATCCAGAGCTTTCAGTGATTGAAGGAGCCCTGGGAAGCCCCTTAGTTAGTGAAGTACTGACCTCTTATGCCTCACTCCACTCTCCTTCTTGAACATAGAAATGAATCTCTGACATTCTTCTTGATATATTTAGCAAGATGACATCTCATTTAAATTTAGGTCTGAAAAGCAAAAGCTGTCACTAAACACCTTGTGTGGTCATCAACACAATTGTTTTTGTAAATCAGAGGGAAAGTTTCCCTTTTATTCATAATTCCTTGTTGGCTGAACCTGAGTTTTCATAGATCCCAAGCCATATTAGCATTCATTCTGTGGGGCTCCATGGGCCTGTGGCCACTTGAACAAGTTGCTTTGGCTCATTCAGGGTAAGAAGCTCAAGCGTTGGCCTCAATGGGGTACATTTTGCAAATCAGTGATTATTTCAGTTATGGACAGCATTCCAGAAAAATAACAAGAAGACAGGAGAGACCCTGCAAACAGACTTCCAGCTAGAATATCTCCAAGAACTCTGGATAGAGCCCACCAGGTTTGCAAGGCTCAGACACACCATTGTTTTGCTAAGAATTTTCTAGCACTTGTCAGTGCCCTCTTGGCTTTTGCTTTGGCAGATGAGGTCACTGAGACAGGACTTAGTGCAGGAGGTATATTTTATGTTGGGTCTGCATTCCATGGATTTATTGTAGCAGGAGTTGCTATCTGCCCATGGAGGGAAGAAGGAAGAGGCAAAGACTAGAGGAACATGAGAGCAAAGCAATTGCAAAGAATTAATATCAGCAAGAAACAGTCCTTTTAGGACTGAAATGTGCTCGAAAGCTTAGGACTCTGCTTCAAGGTTATTCTCTTCATCCCAGGACTTTTTTAAAAAAAGATTTATTTATTCATATAATAGCTGGGGTACAGGGCAGAGGTGTGGGGGGTGAGAGGATTCACCAGAGACAGAGTGGGGAGCAGAACAGGCAGACTGACTGAAATACACTGCTAAGGGGAGCAGCGTGCGAGACAGGAGAGATCTGCTGCACCATGTGGGTTGCTCCCTGGCTGGCCAGGGATCAAACTCGTGCTGCAAAGGTTGCAGACAGCTTCATGGGCTGTGCCTTAACCCTTTGTACAACCAGGGAGGCTCATCCCAAGGCTTTTAAACACAACAATGTTGCCCAGTCCAGGCTGAACATTTCTTATATTTTAAAAAGTTGACAATCAATTCCACTGTAGTTTAGCATTATTACCCACTCTCTACCCCAACCCCAGGAGCTGACTCAGAAACCCAAGACTTGGGGGAACCTTAACAAGGCTCTTCCCAAGAAGACCCCCTCCCAGGAAGAGGACAGCAAGTCTCTATTAGTTGCATGAGTTAACCACCTACTCCACCAACTAAGGATGTGTCAGATGGATTTGAACAAAAGTAAAATGGACAGGACTTTGCAAAGAATTTTCAAAGTTGACCTGTTCTTAAGCACAGGGGGTTTCAACTGTTTAATTAAATAGGCCATCCGAACACCGGAAAAGAGGCATCCGAAAGACACAGTGTACCGGGGCCAAGGACAATACCGATTAAGATCAAATAGCTAATTGTAAGTCTCGGCCTCCAAATTGCTGCCAGATGAATAAATAGCAGTGTGTGCAATCCAAGCATAATTTCACATGGATACTGTCTCATTCACACCCGCAGAGGGCTGGAAAACATGGGGGGGTGCGCAGACAGCAGAATTCCATTGGCTGGAAAGGGATCAAAAGCATTTTCAGTGTTGTTATTCTTGGTTAGGGAAGACCTTTGTGGAAGTAAAAGATATTTGGTTTGGTTCAGAGGCACTAAGCTCAAATATAAGCTGAGCAGGAGAAAGTGAGGGACAGATGAGTGTCCATCCAGGGTTTGTCTCTGGGTGCTGCTTTCATGTTAAGTCAGCTTTCCAGAAAAAACAAAGCTCCAATGAGAAAGTGAGTGCCTTTTGCAAACAGGACCAAAATTCTGTCACAAATGGTTTCTTTGATTGTGGTGATGAGCAAGAATGGGTGGGTACCAAGAGTATGCTAAGAGTTGAGGCTAACAGCCTCAACCCCCATGCCAGCTAGATAATGAGGTAATGAGTTTTGTTGACTTTGGATCTGTTTTCTTTGCTGGAACTCTCAGATGATCTTACAGCTCTGAAATCAAGCTTCTGTTAAATAGAATAAGACCCTGACTTAGTTCTTTTAGCTTTCGGGCTACTGTGAAGATTTCATTCGTATAAAACATGAGAATAGAAAAGTATGCTTTTTTATGTACTGTTTTGTAAATACTGTCCAACTATTCTGAAATCAAGCATGGTTTAAATAATAATAATAATTGAAAGAAGACACAATAACTTGGAAGCAAGACAAGAAGGAGCGAAGGAGAATACTAGATGGGGTGAGAGTTCAGTTCATTTGCATCAGATGAAATGATCAGCCCCAGATGTCTTTGATTCTGAATTTCCTGGCAGCAAAGGCAAAAAGAGCAATGCCTTAGATGATATCACCATAATTGCACATTAAATGAAAGTGAACACAAGTTCATTTGGAAATGCAAATATTGTCCATTTTACTATAATCTCTACTCCTTTCCTTTCTTTATTGAAAGATGGGTGCTGGGGAATTATTTTCCACTTCAATTTTGTAAGTGATAGAAATTTAACTTATAATATATATTTCTAAAATTAGATCTTTCTAAGTCCCTGGAAAAAAAAAGTTGTTGGACTTTATGACTCTTACACCATTACTGTGGTGCCAACCCACTGGCTCCCAACTGCAAGCTCCTGCCCCTAAGGACTTTGTCTAGACCCAGAGCCCAGTGACTCACATACGTGGGAGATCAGGGGTGCTGAGGACTTAATGTTTGTCACATTCAGCCTTCAACAGATGGTTGATACAGTTGGTAGGTAATAATTGCTTGCTCCCTGGGTGGGATAGCTCTGAGGCAGGTCTCCCCTGTATCCCCAAGTTTTCCAGTGGCATCCACCTCAGTTGTCCTCAGTGACAACTGTCTTGATAATGTGAACTTCCTTGTCTTACTTTCCCCAAACTGTTGGCCTCGTCTGGACCTGCCACCTAAATAAAGGACTTGCACTCAGATCTCTATGTCACAGCCTACTTCTGGGGGAAACCCAATCTAAGACACGTCATGAAAGTATTCCCATGAAGAGCCAACTTAGAGCTCGTATGGGAGCTTACAACTAGAGCTGAAGTTATCTAGATCACTGGTTGTTTCTTTAAAATATTCATCTTAGATCTATGCTGAATGCTATATATTTCAGGGTTGCAGTATGTGAAGAAGGCAGAAACTATGATCATCTATATTGTTAATTTAAAAAAAGGTCAATGTGAGACCCAAGAATTGATATCACATCCACTTCTCTGTGTACAGGAGCCCACCCACTTCTTTATAGGGTAGTGTGGTGGGAGTGAGTGGGGACTGCAGTAATGCAGGGAGAGAGCCTATAATACCTCCCAAACTGCTTGGAATCGTCTGAAGAATTTGGTCAAACCATTGCTTGGCATTTTTCAGACAGGAGTTAGAAACTAGCTGCTTCTTTCATAAGGAAGCATCACTAGACCCTCACTAATTGTTTCATCTTTTGTAATTGTGCCCTTCATCAAATTGTCACACTGTGTTAACTGGTTAAATGGTGGTTACTGTGTCAATAGTTCAGTCCAGTATCACAGAGAGAACACAAATATGGTAAAACTGGGAGCCTGAATTCCAACAAGCCCTCTGTGGTTATTCTTGGCAGAAGCATTCAAATTAGAAGGTGATTCTACTTCTCCCAGGTTCTCACCTGCAGATTTAGATGTTTTCTTTCAGACAACACAGCAGGCTAAGCAGTAGCAACACAGTTCAATCAATTTTATGTAATGAAATATTTGTTGTAATCCAGACTACAGTCAGTTGTTGCAGTTGACTAGTATTTGATGAGAACCCCACACCCCATTCAGATTCATATAACATACCCATGATACCTTTATTCCTTGGTTAGGATCCTATGTCCTAATGTTATTTTAAAACAAAGTTAAAAAAATTAGTCACTTGGGAAGAATTGGTACTATATCTTTCACACACACACACACACACACACACACACACACACACACACTCATATATATGTTGTCTCCACTCCCCCAAAGACTTGGGGTATAATAAGTAATTGGAAGGAAGACCCACCCAGACCATTTTTTTAAATGCTTAAGTGAGGCTGGAAAGATTCTTGAGAGGTCTCAACTACTTAAGTACAATAATCCTTACTTCTCTGACATCACTTCTATTTCTGGGTTTATATAAAATATTTCCATTTTAAACACACAGAAACACATCTGCCAATGCCTTGTTTTGCTGGCCACAAAGAAGACACTCATTAAATACGTGCCCAGGGCATGAAAAACTCTGACGTCAATAGCCAACAGCACTCTATCAACCTTTCTCTGCAGACACACTGGACTTCCAAAAGGCACAGGAGTCATTGGCTTCTTTGGTTTCTGGGTTGGTTTGTTTTTAATAGATCTTGTCTACAAATTTAAATATAGTTTTGAGATTGAAGTAAAAGGCAAAATAAATGGGTGTTTGGTGTATCATATTAAAATTCCAGATTCATTCAAAAAAGATATTTTTGTGGACAGGGATGTACTGATGGATAGTGATGGAGTGGAAAAGTGGTCTCTATTCTTGCCACAACTGCGATCTATGCTGCGAGTTTTGTGACTGTTAGAAGGGTCCACAACCTAGGTTAGGGACTTCCTTTGGCCATATTCAATATTGATCTGATCACAGGGCACAGAAAGGTGTGCATCAAAGAGCCACTTTCCCCAAGTGTGTCTTCACACCAGCCTGATCCTGCCTGACTCTCCATCAGCATAGCCATTTCTTATAGACCTTTGGACTATAAGAGGATCTTTGGACCTCTGATCATTTTAGCTACCTTATATCAAGTATCTTATTGTATCAATCAGAAGAGAGAGCAAACATATAACTTTATTTGCTTTACATCAACTTAAATTCATCTTCAACTTAAATTCATCTTCATCTACGTTTCTGAGAATTTCTGTCTTAGTGCTGATTGGGGAATCCTTTGTGTCCCAGGGTTGTAAAAAGGTCACTGACTTTATATAAATAACACCAAATCATCATGGATGGTGAAGTGCTGGAATATAGGGCCACACTGTTTAGCTTGGGGAGCCCTGTTCTTAGAGCACCTGCTCCCTTCAGGTATCAGGTGCTGCCTTGGAACTAGCCTAGAGCCTGAAAGAGTCTGTGGGGGGGACCCTCTGCTGAGATATGGTCTTTCAAATGTCCCACCAATCATCCTCCTAAGATCTTGCAGGTTCTTCAGATCTGAATGGCATGCAAGCTGGAAGCCCAGGGCTGATACAACCACCTCCCCAGGTTTTGTCATCTCCCAGGAATGCAGTCACAATTGGTAGGAGCGGCCCTGATGCCCAGGGCTAAGAAAATAATGGGGCCAAAACAGACTCTGAGCCAAGCATTGAGCCCAAGTGATTTATTAAAGGAAGTACTTCAGGGTCAACCTGTACATATTTTTTTGGGGGGTGGGCAGCAAGACAGGAAAGAGGAAGAAGCCAAAACAAGAGAGATTTTAACTGTACTGCCAGTCTCAGCTCAACCCCCCAGATGCTTGGGGTATAAATGACACCTTGAGAAACAAGAGTTGGGTTTTTGTACTTCCATACCCTTCATTCATTGCCTACAAGCAACCCGGGATCGGGCATGGTGAGGAAGATAAAAATCTAGACATTTTTTGTATGAACAAGATGGTACCCATGCCCAAGGTCACCTTCTGAAAGTTGTAGATACCAGTGCTCAGCAACAAAGCTGGTAAAACATGCAGAGATTGAGCTGGTAAAAGGATTTGAGGGGGTCTGGATGGGCACTAGCACTATACAAACCTTCTCAAAGCCATCGTGTATCTTCTTAAAGTGGTACAGCAAATCGCCTCATACTGTTACCCTGAAAAAGAAGACAAGGGTAGTGAAGGTCTTTCTTTAAATGTTTATCTGAAACAATATCCTGAAGAAATATTCCTCCCCAAGTACTGTTTTTGTTCACAAAATAGCATGTAAGGGCATGCTACACTTAATGTGTTTATGTCCCTAGGCTGAGTCCCAAAAGTGACAGGGAGATGTGCTATTTATGATTAATCATGGAATATTTTACTGAGCAAAGCAGGAGCTTGATGTTCCTTCCAGACCAGAGATGCAGATGTTGTAAATTTTCATTTGGGTTTGTGTGAAAACATCCATCCACTGAGGATAAATGATACACAAAGCCCTTAAAAAATCACACAGAAAAAAGAATCGTGAGCTTGTTTAATGGGGAGATACAAAGATTCTGAAATGAAAACCCATGAGGGGAAAAAGAGAGGCCTTGAAATCTAACCCTGGGGAGATGATCTGATGAGATGCAACTGGCCTGTGAACCCAACAGGTGGGTGTCTAAACTGGGAGAGAAAAGGATGAGCAAATTCTTAAAATTCTCTTCAAAAGCATCATAGGAGAGTGTCCAGCTTTGGAAAGTACAGGAAATAAATGAAAGGATAATGCCCAATAACAGTTTGATGCAGGAATGTAATTTTAAAGTTTCATTGTGCTGGAATAAAAGAGATAAATATACAGAGAACATGGTTGGAATCCAGAAGTCTGAATCATCATACTGGACCCAGTTCTGGAAACCCATCTTGGGTAGACATTACTAAGAGGCCAGAAAATAATGTGCAATATTGCTTTATCATAGAATCGGCCCAATAATGCACTTTGGATTTCTTTGTGAAGTGTTCTTTAAGTTGTCTGTATTTTGGATATTGATTTCAATGTGCATTGGGTGCTTTGTCCATAAAGGCAAACAAGGGAAAAGGAGATTGTTACTTACATAAAAATCAGTCCAGTCAGGAAAAATGTCATCCTGTTTCACAGATGAGAAAAGGAAGGCTTGGCAAGATTAATTTTCCCAGAGCCTTGTTTGTTAAATGGAAGAATGATTAAATTCATATTTTTTAGGGAATGAAGTACCAGATGATTTCAGTGATATGTGGAATATAGAGAAACTAAAACTAACAGAAACACTAAACTAAACAAACCCTCGAAATCTGACTATAGAATTGATGCTACCAAAGGGGAAGATGGGGGAGAGGCTGCATAAGCAGGGTGGGAATGCAGCAGACTGTGGTAGAGGATTCTGGATGTTTTGGTGGTAGGCATAGTCTTATACATTTGAAGAGGTTGTAAAAAATTGTTAGCTCAATAAAAATAATATAAAAATATGGAATGTAAAAATAATTATCCTTTCATTCTTTCTACCTACTAAAAAATGTTTATTGAGTACCTACTGTATGCTTATTCTGGACATCAGAACCAAATGAGTATTTGAATTTATACTGGTCTGATCCTGGAGACCACTCTTTTTCCACCAGAGTCTGGTCGCAAAGCTTCCTTAAATATGACTTTAAATATGAAGTCATGCAAATTTGGAGTACTCTATGATAATGTAAGGTGACAAAGAGATTTGCACCAGTTGGAAAGAATATAAGAACATAAAAAAAGCCATGGAGACAATGCTAGGTTCATAGGTTTAGCAGAAAGAACCCAAAGCCATTTTGCCTGATACTTTAAAAACAGAAACAACAGGGCTGCTCTGGTGGCGCAAGGGGTTAAGACACAACCTATGAAGTCATCCACAGCCACTGCAGCACCAGTTCGATCCCCAGCCAGGGAGATACCCATATAGCACAACAGACCTCTCCTGACTTGCCCACTGCTCGCCCGCTGTCAAATACATTATTGAATTGCATGGGGACTGTTTTATAGGGATGAACCCGTGTCGCCGATCTGCCTGCTCTGTTTCCCACTCTGTCTCTGGTGAATCCTCTCACCCCTTACACTTCTGGCCTGTACCTCAGTTCTTGTATGCATAAATAAATAAACCTTTAAAAAAAAAGTAACAACAGAAGCAACAACAAAAATATTAAACTTTCATGGTTACATTTTCTGATGATAAAACTTAGAGTGTAAAAAGAGCAAAAATTATTTTTCACATTATAAGCCAGAGATAATGGCTAAATTTTTTTATTTGATTTTGGTTTTTAACATTATTTTAAATATGTCTGATGATTTTCTTCATATTTATCAATCTGTAAGCTGATATCTTTCATCAGTTTTGAGAAATTTTCAGCTGTTATCATTTTACATTTTCTCTCCTCCTTCTAGGATGCCAGTTATATCAGTTTATCAGCCTGCTTATTGTATCCCAAATGTTCCTTACATTTTCCAGTACAATTTTCACTTTTTTATCTTTTGGGTTTCATTCCACATTTTTACAGGTATCTTTTAGATTATTAATACTCTTAAACTATATCTGATTTGCTCATAAACACATCCACTGAGTTTCTACATTTTTGGTATTATACACTGTCAGTTCTAGATTTTTCCATTGGCTATTTTTCAAGGTTTCCAGTTTTCTGCTGAAATTCCTAATCTTTTATTTCCTTGACATATTCAGTATGGTTTTGTTAAATAGTATCAGACAACTGTATTTTTTATATCCTTTATAGATCTGTATCTATTATTTGAATTTCTTTTGAATTTTATTTTTTTCTTTTTAAAGATTTATTTATTTATTTATACAAGCACTGGGTACAGTCAGAAGCGCCGGAGGGTGAGAGAATTCACCAGAGCCAGAGCTGGGAGCAGAGCAGGCAGAAGGACCGAAGTACACTGCTGAGGGGAGCAGCGGGCAGCAGGAGAGGTCTGCGCGCCATGTGGGACCCTCCTCTGGTGGCCAGGGAGCAGCCGGGGATCAAACCAGTGCCGCAGAGGCTGCGGGCGGCTTCGCAACCCAGTGCTCAACCACTACGCCCCGGGGAGGCCCTCTTTTGAATTTTAATGCTATAGTCTTGCCTTCCACTGGCCCCTAACTCAGAAACATCTCTGGACTCTATCCTGGTGACAATCCATGAATAATAACTTAGTCAAATAACAATTCACCATTCTAGGGTCTCATGAATTGGAGGTGCACCACTGATTTAATTATAGCTTTCTGGGGGCTGGGAGTAAAGAAATACTACAGAAAAAGTTCGTGTATGACCTGATTTCAGACATACCGCATTATTAAAGAGGATATAGCTAAGAATTACACAACTGTAGCAGAATTCTTTGACTTTGGGAAGACTTGCTATGTCCTGAGTCAGTTTCTCTTTAAGTATTCCTTTAAAGCCTCCTTAGTGAAAGAAAGGATGGACCTGAGTTGTCCTAAGACTTTTTTATCTCTAAGGACTTAAGAGCACTCCATTGTTCCTGCTAGTTATTAAATCCACATTAAATGTAATAGAAATATGATTCATGAGAATCTTGCACATAGAGGATCATGAGGGTGGAGCCTAGTGGACCATGGAAGAACTTACTTTGGAGGGGAGGAAAATCCAATGATAGGACTTAGGATAGAAGTGATTTTTTATCTTCTGCTAAAGTTATATGGTTAGAGGATATTCATTTTCTTTCAGCATTCTGGGACTGATTTTACGTATCACTCAAACCTTCTTGGCCATCATCTTCACTGAGCAAAGCTCAAAATAGTTGACGAACTACACTTAAATTACGCACGTCATAGCCCTTTGATAGGCTAACTAGCCACAGATTCAAGTACCTGCCAGAACCAGGCATTCCAGTAGGTTCTATGGCCAAGTGAAGAATCAGTCCCCATCTACACAGAGCAGTTGATGATTGTCATGTGGCAATACAGGCCCAGGGTTTCCAGAGAGGAATTTTGTCAAAAGCTAGCAATACAGATTTTTATGAGGCTATTTTATGAAATATCCCGATTGGCTACTAATTCCATTTTCTAAGACTTGCAGGATTAATGCACCATGTTTTTGAGATGATTCCAGCCTATGGGCTTCTGTTGTTTGTTTCTAGGCTACACGTTCAGCGCCAATGAGTCTGTACTATAAGAAGGTAGCCCCACCATGGAAGCAATATGGAGTGCTTTCTTTTCTTGCTCCTCCCACATCTCAGCAGTGTTCCTAGAAATAGAAGCACTGAGCCCACTTGAAGTTTCAAAAAGTGCATTGCCCTCCTTATAGCATCTCAGTATTTTTAAACAGTTCACTCAGTTAGATCGACTTTTTACACTTAAAATGGGAATTTGGAATCACTCACCAGGGAAATTGCTCATATTACACAGCCCCAAATCACCCAGAGTATCATGAGATCATCTTCCACATGGTCTACGACAATCTTAGAGTAGACAAATCAGCAATTTGGCTAATATTAGCAACCTTGCCAAATTACACATAGGGAAACGATCAGTTTATTTTTAGTTTTCAAATATTTTAGAAGTGTTATCTGAAGATTCTTTTCTTGCCAAGGGGCAAGAAAATAAGTTGCTTAAAAGATAATTGGGTTGGTTATGGGAAGAAAAGCATGTCAAATACATAATTGAATTGCATGGGGACTGTTTTATAGGGATGAACCCGTGTCCTAGAAGAAATTATTTAAAAGAGACTAGGAAGGCTGAAGAGTGATTGGTACCCATACTCAGTAATTAAGGGTTGAATTTTTCAGGGAACTTCATTTCCTTAAGCAAGTACTATTCGGTATTATGCCATAATCCATTTGAGGAAAATGTTATCTATCTGACAGAATATTTCCAGACTATATCTAATATCCTGTTCAGTGCTCAGAATAGCTGGTAATGTCATTTCTACTTTAAGTAACTGTCTAACATGAGCTAGAGAATAGAAATACCTTTGCAATGAATACCATTAAGTGTGTAGATGGAAAGTTGTATTTGAAGATCAAGGGAAATCTATTATGTCTCTGAATTTATATTGTCCTCTAGTACAATACTTTTATAGTACAACTATGTTCTTAAATATGAAATATAAAATCTAAATTCACTTCTATACTTGGCTGTTTCTCATCATCTTTACTTTCTGGGTATAACATAAATAGGAAACAGAAGAGTCTACTTTAATTGCCCAAGCCTTAGGGAAGCAAGGAGATGATACAACACTGAAATACAATAGCTTTGTATACTGATCATAAAATCTAAGTGAAATAGTTAATTTGTCTAGGCCTGTCCAGCACCCACAGTTTGAGAGAGAGATGAACATGATCATATGAGAGCCAATTGTGGTGTCAAATTTATTTATATGTGAAATGATATACTTCTCAATTTAATAATAAATCATTAAAGCCAGGGGAGACAGGTCCAATATATTCATTTTCTATTATGAGCTCTCTCTTGGTAATTCTTTTGAGTGTCATTCCAAGTAAGCTCCATGTCCCTGCAAAGAAATATGAAAAGATTTGATTCAAGGAGGGGGTGCTTCAGACTTGTCATAATTCTCCTTTTCTTTTCACTTTCAGTCCTTGAAGAAACAAACTGCTCGGACCCTGGGGGCCCAGTCAATGGGTACAAGAAAATAACAGGAGGCCCTGGGCTTATCAATGGGCATTCTGCAAAAATTGGCACAGTCTTGTCCTTCTTTTGTAACAACTCGTATGTTCTCAGTGGCAATGAGAAGAGAACATGCCAGCAGAATGGAGAGTGGTCAGGGAAGCAACCCATTTGCATAAAAGGTAACATGCAAATATTTCTGAAGTCTATAGAAGTAGCTGGAGTTGCTGAACTTTTCAGTAGCTCCCATACATGTTTTTGAGTCCCTGGAAAAATGCCTTTTTATCTTATGTTCTCACTGGAACTGTACTTAACTCACAGGTTGGAATCCATCCCTAGAAACATTGGCTTCCTTTTTGGATCTCTGAAGGGCCTGCTAATCCAAATCACATGTTGATGTGATCAAGAAGAGTCATGTAGTTACCAGAGCAGCTTAGGAAGATGACAGGCCTGAATTTTATGTATGCAAACCTCAGGAAGAATTGAACGAATTAATATGTATTTATAAAACATTTACCTAAAGAAATAATATTAGTGGAAGAAATAAAAACACAATAGACATATCATCCCTACCAGCTCACATGAAATGTTAAGATGTTTAAAAACATCTTATGAAGACAGGGGAGGATGGGTAAATTGTGGAAAGGGAGTCAACTGTGTAGTGGTGGATGGAAACTAAACTTTGGGTGGCATACATAATGCAGTATGTACAGATGTCGAATTCCAATTATTATTTTGCATAAAGAATTCCAATTATTATTTTGCATAAAGAATTCCAATTTTTTTGTATAACTAATTCCAATTATTATTTTGTGTAACTATACAAAAAAGACAGAAAGCCCTTGAACATTCAAAGGAGAGTTACAGCAAGAGATGACTTTGTGTTCATTTAGAGAAAGGAAACAATATTTCTTAGAAGAGGGCAGGTTGCAAGTAGCAGGTGGGACTGGAGCAGTTTGGGAAGTCAAGAAGGATTTGTAAAGGTGGAGAGAATTAGGATGAAATACTCCATTCGGAAGACAAAGGAAAAGAAGTGTAGGCAGATGTGAAAGAATAGTGCAAACTCAAAGCGAGGCCATTTGGGGATCGGGGAGGTACATTTTAAAAGGTCATTTGAGACCAGAAAAATGGAATGCGGTATAGAAGTTGGAACCTCACCCCTTGGCAGTGGAATGAGTAGTTCCCTCTGAACTCATTCACGCCCTGCTCCATGCCAACAGCCCCACGATTTGGGGAGCAGGTCACAATAATTTGGCTGTTTCCTGGAAGAAAAGCAATGTCCTTGGCCTAGATTATCCAGATAATTGCCTCAATCCCCCACTATCCCTTCTGGGTGTTTGTCAACAACCCAAATCTGAGGAAAAGGCATGAAAGAGAATGACTTGTGAAAGGAATAAATCACTTTAGACTTTAGCCAGAAGCGACCTTCAGACCCCACCAGCACAGACTCTGATTCTTGATTTCATTAAGCATGGAAATGGTGTTCCATACGTCCTTGGAGATTTTTGTCCACTCTTCTCTTACAAATTAATCCCACCAAAGTTCCCTGGGTTGCTAATTAGATGAATGTTGGCTGCTTGATTGGGAAAGTGAAGCGGGACGGGTTCCTTTTCACTGGTGGAGAAAGCAAGAGACTCCCACAAAGTTCAGCTGGGCTTTGGGCTGCCCTCGAATGGCTGTTCAAGCCTTAATTGCAGAGAAAGCACCTGGAGGAGCCAGTGGGCCAAGAACCACCAACTGTCTGGTTTCCAGTGAGAACCCTGGAACTCCCTGTGCTGGGCTATATTGTGGAACCTCCACTTTTGACTTTTATTCTGTCTTGGAAAAGTTCAATAATGCTTATTTTTTGTGAAAAGTCATCCTAACCTATTAACTGCCTTTATTTGAGTACCCCGGTGAGGCAGTACTAGGAAGAGGGACAAAGATGGACAAATTGCTTTTCAAAGGGATTGTGTTACTTAGGTTCTGCAGAGAGTTATTCAGGTGAAAGGCAGCATGTCCTTTTGCTGAGGGAGCTGTTGGCTGACCTGGGCGTGTGCATCCCATGTCTAGAGAAAGGTAGTTTCTCTACCTTTCTTATGGGGAAGAATCTGAAGTGACTGGGTTAGCAGTTCACCTGGAACAGGGTTATGCAGTGTTACCTTTTATTCCCAGCCTGCCGAGAACCGAAGATCTCAGACCTGGTGAGGAGAAGAGTTCTTCCAATGCAGCTTCAGTCAAGGTGAGTTGAAACACCTGAACTGTGCTGTAAAGGTGAATAAATGTTTCCCTCCCACACTTTCTCCACTCATGTTACACCAAAGATGGCTTGGGGTTTCTCAGGGACACTCAGAGTGACTGACTGTGAAAGAATAGGGCTTGTTAGATGGAGGCTTGCTAGCCAGCTGCCTCTAGCCAAGAGGTAGCAACAGTTGGAAGATGGGCAAACTGTACTGGCTCATGGAGAAGTAGTTGGTTGGTTGGGAAGTAAGATTTTAAGATGATCCTTGAGGACCCTCATTTTCATGCTTGAACCTTCCTGAAACGACTGTGTTTATTGTGGCAGCTTCTAAGGAGATGGCATTCCTGCCAAAGGCGGCCAGCTCTGGCTCAGGGGGATGTGCTGTAGTAACCAACTAGGCGAGGCAGGCTGTGGGGCCAAGAGTAGAGATCACTGACCAGCTCTGATGTGGGAGGTGAGCCTGCAGGTACCCCCAGCCTTGCTCTGGGAATTGAAGTGGTAATACCTGGAGAGAATAGCCCCTTTCCTTCTTCTCATTTCCTTAATTTGTAGGAAATACTGCTCTCTCCTCCCCATCCCTTCCACTCCAACCCACGGGCTACCTTGTTTTTCCTGTTTCTTCCAAGCCCATCTCAGCTTCAGAACCTTTGCTATTGTGGCTCTTTCTGTCTGGAATCTGCTTCCTCTGAATTTCACTGAGGCTTCATGTCTCACCTCCTTCCATTCTCTGCTCAGTCCTCATGTGGCAGAGAGACCTTCCCTGACTGTCCTTTAAAAAAACAAGTCACTCCCTAGACCCTGACCACCCAGCTGACTTCTCTACCCGTCATGCTTTCCTCTTCTCTGACAACTTCCATTTTCAACTTGGCATCGCTCTCCACAGCTGTCATACATACTTTTTAAAAATTATTTATCCATTTCTGCCTGCTTCCCCCACACTAAAACAAATGTAGAAGTTACAAGTGCAGGAACATTTTCTTTTTCATTCATTGTGAAGTTCTAGTGCCCAGACCAGTGCCTTGCACATAGTAGTGTTAGGGGGAAAGGATGTCCTGAGCTAATCCCATACAGGCTTTGTGGACCCCACCCCCACTCCAGACTAAAGCCATCAAGACATTGGGAAAGACAAATCCCATCACCACCAAGGGAGGGTGGCTGGGACCTGAGGGTGGAGTTGGGTAGCCAGGTTAAATATAAAAACCAAACATGTGGGCCTTGGGCTCTCTCTCTGGCTCGCAATCGCTCGCCTCCTGGCTTCACCGCTCCTGGCTGGCGGCCAACTCTGAGAGCGCCATTTTGGAATTCCTGATCGGCGGATCGGGTAGGACTCATTTAAAACTTTGTCTCCCACTTTTCTCCCAGAGCTGTACATTTCCTCATTTCCCCTTCCCTTGTAAATAAACCTTTTATTAACCTTTCACGTGTGCCTGCAGTAGAGCATTGATAAGTCCTTTTAAGCGCGGGTGAGGACCCACAGTCAGGCACCCCATTTTGTATCGGGGTTGCTCTACAACAGTAGGACAAATGCATTGGATGGATACTTGAAGTCTCCAAACCTGGCTCTGTGTTTTTTTAGGGTTGATGCAGGGCTTCTTTACACTCAGTATTTTGGGACAAGTTCCTAAACTTACTGAGCCTTTAGTTTCCTCTTTTATAAAATAAAGATAAATCACAGTACCTTCTGTCTCACATCACTGTCAGGATTAAATGGTACACTCGCTTTAGGATGAGCTCCTTTAATCCTCACCACAATCTCTGAGGCAGGTATTATTATTCCATTTTATTCTACTAGAGGTTTTATTACTATTTTATGACAGATGCATAAACTGAGGCTCAGAGAAGGTTAGTAACTTGCCCAGGGGCACATTGCTAGAAGAAGTGGCAGAAGAAGGGTGTAAATCCAGGGTGTCAGAGGCTGGGGTCTTCAGGGTCGCCTGGGTCTTCGAGGTCTGCTCCCTTATGCACTGAGCTTTATCTGAGCCTTAAGGAGTGGCACAAGGCTTTTTACATGTGAACGCTTATCAGCAGCAGCTTTTGTTTTTAGAAACAGTAAACATGGACCTCTGTGAATAAGATATTACTTCAACTAGAATTGACTCTAACCCAGTGACCTGAATTGTTCACAAATCAGGATGTTATTCGTGAGTCTAGTCCTTCCTGTGACCTTCCCCTTGTCCCCTTGTGTGTCTGTCTTTCCTTTTGTAGGCAAAGCATTTCCTCAGGTTCAAGGGCACAGAACCTAAAACATTTCCTCTTTTCTGATCCTGTCATCTGCCTGTGGCTGGACTTTCCAATAAGTGAGATAGACCTTTAATTGCCAAGGAGATATCTTATAGAAGAAACCTTGAGCAATTTAAAAAAATTCGCCCAGCTTCACACTATTTTTTAAAGATTTATTTGTTTATGGATACAAGAACTAGGGTATAGGCCAGAGGTGCCGGGGGTGAGAGGATTCACCAGAGACACAGTGGGGAGCAGAACAGACAGATCTATTGAAATATACTGCTGAGGGGAGCAGCGGGCGAGACAGGAGGGTCTGCTGTGCCATGTGGGTTACCTCCCTGGCTGGGGATTGAACTCATGCTGCAGAGGCTGCCGACAGCTTCAAAGTGCTGTGTCTTAACCCCTTGAGCCACCAGGGAGGGCCCCAGCTTCACATTTTTAGAGTGACTGTAACAGGCACTAACTCTGGTAGTGGCAGGGTTGCAGGCACTTCATGGAGATGAGAAGGCAGGCCTACAATTTGGGTGTAAGCATCTTTCTGAAAGACTTCTGAAGGGGACCACTCCTCCCTAGGGCAGCACAGACTTTGAATAGACGAAAGATGAGCTTGTTTGCAAGTGTAGAAGCTCTCTGAATTGCAGACATGGTTCTAAATAAGCTGAAGATTTGTTGTTTGAAATGTGGCCTTTGGATGTAAACGTGGATGCATATTTGCTCTGAGCAAAGCACTGCCGCAAACTGCAGAACATGGTGATGTCAGCTTGGTGTAGCAGGGAGCAGGGTGGGGCTGGGGGCTGTGCTGGCTGCCATTTTAGCCTTCTGTGTCCCCTTCACCCCGCCCCTCATCTCTCTGGATTTCTATTCTCCATTCATTAAACAGGGATGAAAACAGGGATTCCTATTCCTAGAGGAATTCTAACTTTTCAGTTAACAGTTGTGCACTGATATAAAATAAACACGAACACGAGCTGTACAATGTTCGTTGGTGTCCCCCAAGAATCTCTGAGAAGTCTCTCGGGGGTTCAGCTTCATTTAAAAAGCCTTTTTTTTACATTTATATACAATGCTCCATATTTCTCCCAATCAATGTGCCCTGAGAGAAAGTTCTATCCTCTAAGGTGTACTAATTACATCTGCTAATTGCTAAATCAAGCTACTGTATCAACACAGTTTAGTTCAAGTCAATTTCTAATATTGCCCCATTATGATAATAGTTAGAGAGAAAAATATCTCTGGATTTCTCTTATTCAAATTAGCTTCCTTTGCTGTTTCATTTCACAGTTAATTGTTGTGTGTGTGCACGTATAACGCACCTTCGGATAACAGCTATTATGTTAGATATTATCCTCTCTATTTAAGATCCTAGGCAGCTGGAGGACTGCCAGGAATGGAAATGGAGGAACAGAATGAAGGTTGAGCAATTTGTTCAGTGGTAGAGGGAATGTGTGTGTGTGTGTCTGTCTGCCTGTGTGTGTGTGTGTGTGTGTGTGAGAGAGAGAGAGAGAGAGAGAGAGAGAGAGAGAGAGAAGGGTGGGGGGTTGAGGGGGGAAAGAAATGACATCACCACTTTCCTTCTTCTGTAACCAAATACCCATGTGAAGGGGACTGGGAGATTGATGTGGCTCCTAACGGGGCACAATGGCAGTCACTCACCCTGCTCCTCTGGGTGTGTGTCCCCATGCAGGGAGACACCCTTGCACCAGCTGTACTCGTCAGCCTTCAGCAAGCAGAACCTGCAGGGCGCCCCCACCAAGAAGCCAGCCCTCCCCTTTGGAGACCTGCCCCCTGGGTACCAGCATCTGCACACCCAGCTCCAATACGAGTGCATCTCACCCTTCTATCGCCGCCTGGGCAGCAGCCGGAGGACATGTCTCAGGACCGGGAAGTGGAGCGGGCGTGCCCCATCCTGCATCCCTAGTGAGTGGAGGCTTGACTCCTTGGGAGGGAGAAGCCTGCATCTTCCCTAGCTGCCCACCAAAAGCCTTTAACACTGTTGAAGATGTTCTGGGGCCTTGCCTTGTCCAAATTGTTGGCTTGTCCTTTCTTGAGCTTGGTGATGTCTGTGATCCCACAGATAGAGCTTCCTTCCTTGGGCTTAAACTTATCACCCAGGAGAAATTAACTCATTAAATCTTAAGTGAATTTTTTTGAGGGGGAGGGCCCACCTTCTATCATACTGACTTGGAGAAAGGGGCGAAACAGTCACTAAACACTGAGTGGGGATGGGATTAAAGGTGTCAATGCCTCCAGGGATGTCATCTTGGTTACCCCATCTAAGCCACAGGTTTCATGCTCCTCATCCAATGATATCACTTGCGAAATTGTTATTAATCTGGTGGTGAAGTATTAATTACCAATTAGGTTATGTTGGCGATTACCACAATCATACCTGGAAGGGTCTTGCATAGAGTCAACCCTCTTTCCCATGCTCTTTGTCAAAGGAGACCAGCATGGCTTAGTTTGTTGTGGTCGTATTAATAATGAAGTCACCTGAGTCTGAATCTACTTGTATTTATCATCTCACTTGGTCTACCCAAGAACTTGGGAGGTAGATGTTATTCCTACATTCATTTTACAGGCAAGAAGACTGAAACTCTCAGAAATTAGTCAACAGTCCTATTGATTAGACTAGACTATCGATGATTGCTAGACTAGTCAGTAGGACTATTGATAGTGCCTCGGATTGGAAGCCTCCAATCTTAACCTCAGACTTAATCACTAGCTATGTGAAGGTAGTTGATTAATATCTAAAGGGGAAAGACAAACAGTTCGGCTGCTCAGTGGCCATCAGTACCCTGGGGCCCACCTTTCTCGCTTTGTACTCTGATGTCGAGTGACACATTCCCCTTTGTATGGAAGGTCTGAGTTCATCTTACTAAACTGCTGCTTTCTCCATAGTCTGTGGGAAAACTGAGAACGTCACTACTCCCAAGACCCAGGGGACACGCTGGCCGTGGCAGGCGGCCATCTACAGAAGGGCCAGCGGGATGCACGGTGGCAGCCTACACAAGGGCACGTGGTTCCTGGTCTGCAGTGGCGCCTTGGTGAATGAGCGCACAGTGGTGGTGCCTGCCCACTGTGTGACTGAGTTGGGGAAGGTCACCGTGATCAAGACAGCAGACCTCAAAGTCGTCCTGGGGAAGTTCTACCGGGATGACGATCGGGATGAGAAGACCATCCAGAGTCTGCGGGTGAGAGAGGGTTGCAAGCTGGGAACCGGGCCTCTAGCTCAGGAAATGCCAGGTGCTGGCAGAATGGTGACTGTGCCAGTTCTGTCACCTTGGCACCATAGCACCCTTGCAGAGCCTGGCACGTAGCAGGTGCCCAGTATTTCATATTTATCGATACCAGAAAGGGGCCTCTGAAAGATGATTGTTTTCTTTCCCTTTTGTTAAGTAGGTTTTGAGGACATAGTTTTTATCCAGGATACTTCTAATCAGTTTATGAAATCTTCTCTCCTAATCAATTTATAACCTTCTCTCTATGCCCACCTTCTTGCATCCCTCCTCGGATCTTGTATTAGCTGCACAACTATCTGCCCATCCATTCAGCAATCCAACAGTCTGTCCATCCATCCATCAATCCTTCCTTCCATCCACCCACCCACCCACTATCTGTCCATGAGTATTAGAGCTTCTAGAGTGTGCCAAATAATAGAACTTATATCTGAAAATTTATATATCTTTCATCATACAAACATACACACATGCATATGTATCACAGATGTAAACTCCTAGAGCCCCCTATCAAATAGGATGATCAGCAGCAATTTGGGATAATTGGGAAAAATTTTGTGGAAAAGTCTTCCAGAACATTCAGGGGTGTAGCTCTCAATGGCTTGAAGAAAACAAAATGTTTACAGTGCACCATACTAGTCTTGATAGTCCTAATACTATGTAGTATATTTTGATCATGCTAGCACATTTTTTTAAACAATTATTTGCCAGCATTTAAAAATCAGGAGGTTTTGGGTAAGAGATGGAGTCTATTCCTGGCAGAGTTAGAAGACTGGCCCCTTCTCTGCATGGCAGGGGTCAGCCATGGCACATGGCCTCTGCCCACGTGAGACAGGGACTGTGCTGTCATCCTCCACAGCCTCACCTGTCCACACCACTCTTGAACACTATTTGCAAGGCCCCAGGAGGTATTTCAGTTTGCAGCTCTGGAAATCGAGCAATTGCTTTCTCTGATCCCTGGAGCTCAGTATTTCCAAATCATTGCTGCTCTCTCTTAGACGTTTCCTCCTGATAACTCAGCCCCAGGGCTTGCCTGCTCTTGTGCACCCTGGCGTTGGCTGCTTACCATTGCTCTCCCTTTCTTGTGTCTGTAGATTTCTGCAATCATTCTGCATCCCAACTACGACCCCATCCTGCTGGACGCCGACATCGCCATCCTGAAGCTCCTTGACAAGGCCCGCATCAGCACCCGCGTCCAGCCCATCTGCCTCGCAGCTGCTCGGGACCTCAGCGCCTCCTTCCAGGAGGCTCGCATTACTGTGGCTGGCTGGAATGTCCTGGCAGACGTGAGCAGCCCTGGCTTCAAGAACGACACGCTGCGCTCGGGGGTCGTCAGGGTGGTGGACTCACTGCTGTGTGAGGAGCAGCACGAAGACTATGGCATCCCCGTGAGTGTCACGGACAACATGTTCTGCTCCACCTGGGATCCAAATGCCCCTTCCAACATCTGCACGGCAGAGACAGGGGGCATCGGGGCTGTGTCCTTCCCGAGCCGGGCGTCCCCCGAGCCGCGCTGGCATCTGGTGGGGCTGGTCACCTGGAGCTATGACAAAACCTGCAGCCACAGCCTCTACACGGCCTTCACCAAGGTGCTGCCTTTTAAAGACTGGATAGAGCGGAACATGAAGTGAGCTGCAGGCCACAGAGCGCCTTTTCCACGCTTCCATCTGGATATGTGTGTGTAAAGCAGCGTGGCCCTGATGTACGATTTTGCCCACAAATTGGGCTGTGCCCGGGGATCTGAGTTCAGGGACAAAACTCAGCAGAGGGGGAGTAGAGCTCCCTTCTGGTAAGCCACGGCCTCCCGGACATCTCGACCATATAGAAGATGCTGTGGCTTGTAAGAAACGTTTCTGCACAAAAGACTGTATGAATAGCTCAGTAAACGTCCCCCAGCCGCCTGCTGACCTGGTGGCCTTCCCTTCTGCCCGTCAGTGCTGAGAATGTCACGGTCAGTTCTGCTGGAAAGAGGCAGGGGCTTCACGAGGGCTCTTCCAAGGCTCCAGCCAGACCAAGTTCCAGAGTCACCCGCAGGCCAGCCCCTGCCAGCCTACTCAGATGTGGCCGGGCCTCGAACACACCACCTCGGTCAACGTGTTCTCTCCTTTCTAGTCCCCTGTGCACCTTTTAATAAGACGCAGGTTGACTTCTGACCTACAGAGAAGATTGCTACGACTCTGCTTCCTCTTTGCCCCTTCTCTCAGCTACACATCAGGTTGATGGTTTGGGGACAGCTCTTTAAAATAGATCCCATAGGTGCCACCCATAGGTGGCCTCCTATCATGCACTTGACAAAGCTGATGCCACCTTTTCAGTGCCAGCCCTTGCAGTTTGCTGGGTCATGGGCTGGGGGAGATAGACTTGGGGGCACCATCTGATAAGGCACAAATGGAGGAAAATACCAGGGATTCCATGATTTCTAGGGTGCTCTGGCTCTTGTGTTCTCGATCTAGCACAAACTGCTTTGAGCCTCTGTGAAACTTTGATATATTTTCATAGATTCTTCTGTTGGCTCACACGAGATTGAGACATACAACAAAACTATAGGTTCACTGTTTTCCATAACTTGTGTGCTTTTCCATTCAAGCCCCACTCCTGACTGCTTGAATAGCAGAGGAAAAAATGAACTCAATCCAATCCTATCCCTGCAGTGATCTCTTTTCAGTCAGATGGCTTTTTTTTTTTTTTTTTGGAGGGTGGGGTGGACTCCTACTTTTATTCTTTATGCCCTACTCTACTCACCGGTTTTCTTCTCTCCAATGTCACATGGAGGCTCCGGTGACTCCAAGCACCGGGTCACAGCATGCTCCACTGCCTCTGGCTCTTGGGTGTGTGTGCTGGGTCTTTCCCATTCCTGGGTGTTTTGCTGACATTGACATTGGGCGTAACTTGTGCCATTTCCTCTGCTTCCCTGGGGCGCAGTGACTTACCGTGCTGACGTGGCTCCTCTGCAGCCCTGGCTGGCACTGGCCCGCTTGAGATCTGGGGGTGACTCTTCTGTCACCCTGCTTTGAGTCACTTGGCCTCATTGTGACAGTGATGACTTTCCCTGGCGGCTACCCAATCAGACTCTTGGTGACCTCCTCCTGCTCCCTTGAGGGCTTCTGGGAACTTCTTGGTCTTTTCCAGACATCATGAGGGCAAGAGCGTAGGGTTGGCATGAGGTATTCTGGGAGACATTTGGCTTTCTTAGATTAGACCCAACCAGGAATATGCTCTTTCTTCAGCCTATTGGAGAGGACTCTGTCCTAAGACAGAGGTCAGGATGTTTGTTTCTCAACCTGCCTCTCCATCTCTGTATCTTTACATAATTCCTCAGCCAGAAGGAAATTTCTGGTACTTTCTCTTTTTGTCAGGCTTTCTTGGGGCTTTCCATAGTTCTCCTCCTCCTCCTTTTACCCCCCACTCCAACCTACCTGCCACCACCTCATAAATTAGTTTTCAACTCCTAAGTAACGATCACTCAGTATCATCTGAAACAAGAAATGTTTATTGACTTGCAGTTTCAGTGGGTCAAGAATTGGGGAGCTGAGGTCAACATAGGTTGCTCAAGAGGTTATCCAGAGCTGCGGTCATCCCAAGCCTTACTGGTGCTAAAACATTGGATACAATGCATATTGGTCAAGTCGCTCAAGATTTTCTTCATTTTTTTAAGCTTAGAAGGTTGGATCTTGAGATGTATAAGGGAAGTAAGATCAATGAGATGTAAATTAAAATTCCTGACCTTGGGCAGATCATCTAACCTCTCCAGCTTGGTTATGTCAACTGTTAGGTTGACAAACTGTCCTTTGTAGACTACGGGGATAGGGTGTGCTTGAGTAGTGAGTGTGGTATAGTAACAAAGTAACAATTCTAAAGGGGGATCCATTAGATTCTAAAACTCAACTATGTAAATCAATGTTAACTTAATAACATAAATTATTAATAATAAAGTTGGAATAGTAATTAAAAAAAGATAAAATGTCTTCCACCAGTTCAAAAGCAAAAAAAAAAAAAATCTATCCTCTGTGATGATGGAGATAGTGAGTAAGGCAATGAACATAGTGCCTGGCATATCGGGTGCTGCCCATGGTACCTGGCAGGGTTGGGACTGGCTAGCTGGGCTTCTGCCTCTGTAGGGACATCTCTGCTGGGTACCTGTGCTTCATCCTCTGGCTCTGTCCTAATGCCTCATCTGGCCATCATGTTCCTTTCTTTCTCGACACTCTCTACCATTCAGTGTCATTTTCTATCCTTGCCACACCACTCAGATTGGGCTCACATTTATGTCATTTCAGCTATGACTTTGATCCCTTCAGAAGCAGAATCTGGCCCCAACTCCAATGACATCATCTCTGCTGCTTGACCCCATAGCTGTTTGCTTCTCTCTCTAGTCTTTCCTCCCCCAGCACTGCTCAGTATACAAACACTCAGACACACAACACCAAGACTGCAATAGGACAAGAGAGTCAGATGATCAGAAAGGAGTCTGCCGCTTGGCCCCGTCTGGCTGCTATGGGAAAGCAGCCCATCTCCCTTCGTACCTTGGTCCTCGCAAACCTCTCATCCCAGGGAAGAGACACCACCTTTCCACTGGATATCTGGAGGATTTATTATCCTAGGTTTTTTCAGAGAGTCAGGGCCCAGAAAAGTCATCTAGAATAAAGGGTTACAATGGTCACAGTCAGTGGTGGGCACTGGTGGAGAAGTCTTTGTGAGGCTCTTGCCTTTGCATCTGGTGTTGAACCTGAAATTAACCAAGCTAGCAGTTGTGAAGGAGAGCTGGATGTGAAGTTGGCAGAGCCAGGACAAACTGGGACCCTCAAGGACAAGTGGAAACCCACGTTTGTCTCTTATCATCCCCAATTTCAGTGATATGAGAGGCCTGTGGGAGAAGATGATGCCCTTTGCAGGTAGCTGTGCACATCAGGTCCAGGATATCAGAGAAACCATGAGGATTTCTAGCAAGGGCTGGATTTGCTGTGCTCCTGGGTGCTGTTCCCATCCAGCCAGGGGAGCTAACAGATCGGTGACATTGTGCAGGAACTGCCACGGTGCTTGATGCGTGCTGTCAGCCTTTAGAGCACAATGAACACTGCCGCTTCACTCCCGGTCTCGGCACTCATGTAAGTTTCTCATGTGCCCACTCTGGCTTGGAGCCATACAGTGAAGGGAATTCTGCAGAGTTCCAGCTTCCCAGAAGAGTTAGCTTCTAATTTCTTTTGTAATGTTTTTTATTTTTAAGACACATGCAGCCCCCAAACATCCAATATTCTCTCAGTGAGGTCGTGGTCCCAGGGAGCTGGTCTGATGCTCAGGACTAGAATGTGGTCTTCTACTGGTAAGGATCAATAATTTCACAGAATGCCAATAGCAGTCAAGATCATTCTCTATGAGATGGATCAAGATACAAACAAGACTTTTGTATCTTGTCCATGAACAGACGAAAGCAAGATGACCGTACAAATCACAAAAATACCAAATACCCCCCTCTCCTGGTTAATATCAGTGACTGCTGCTTCTTTACCAATTGGAGCTTTAGCCTGACCTGATCTTCTTTTCTTCTAGATGAGATTTATCAAGACAGTCAAATATAGAATTACCCCATCTTTCTGACAGCATCCAATCCAGTGTAAAATCCCACTTTCCTGAAACCTCCCCCAACTCGCCTAATAAAAGCCCCAATTCTATACTTAGCTCCTCCTTACACTCTCTTAATGAGATATCCCGCTGTTCCCCATGATGTGTATTCTGGTTCATTTCAAGGCACAATAAACTCAACTTGTTCAATTATAAGTATGTTTCTGGAGGTCTTTGATTGGAGGATGTCGAAAAAATACACACACACACACACATATATAAATACACATATGTACACACACAATATGTCCTTGAATAAAACCCTCTCTTTCACCTGTTTTTTTTACAGAGCCAATGAGGAAAAAAAAATACAGTCCTGGCCAAAGGTGAATATAATGAGAACCTGCTTTCATCATCTTGTTTTGCTTAAAGCTGCAGTTTCCAAGATGATATTAAGTGAGGGTTGTAGATTCATATAGGTATATAAGTAAGTAATAGTCTTACTGAAATCATACAGATTTTATTTAGCATATAATAAAAGATGTTGATACTTAACAATTTAAGTTAATCTACATGATTTAGTCAAGACTCCCTTTGCTTGGTCAGACTTAACACGTCAACTGAACTTTCAAGGATAACTGAGTCATCAATTCACACTGTAATTTCTTACATAAACTGTAGCAGGGATTGAGCGAAAGGGACAATCCAAATAGATCAGTATCTTCAGCTGACTTGACATTCACAGGGTAGTAAGAATGTCAGCTGAATATTTGCAGAGGCAGATGGGATGGAAATAGGATATTACAGATACAGAGTTTGGAAAGTACTGAGATTAAGCATTGAGAGGCCTAGTTTGGAGAAGGGTCAATGATTTCCCAACATGAACCCTTTATGACAGTGACAACTCATGCTGGCCAGCCAAGGCAAGGTCAGTCAAGGTTAGGCCTATTAGTGGTGAGTTTCGAATGCTAGGATTAATAATTTGGCTTCTAAGGGCTTCTTTGCTAACATCAAGATCATTTTGATGTCTCCAGGAGAAAGAAAGGATACATGTAAAATTCTGGAAAGGCCCATCAGGCTAACTGTATGAGGCAGAGTGCTGCTGTAAGAAGGCTCAACCTGTGCTCAAGTCCCAGCTCTGTTGTTCACATGCTGTGACTTACAGCACGATATTCAATTCTCTCCTGCAGTTGCTTCACCTAAAAGTGGGAGCGAGATGATGGGATAATTCTGTGAGATGGTTCATGCCTGAGTTAAGTGTGCAGAACAATATCTGACCTCTATAAATATTCTATGATTGTTTTTATTTTGTTATTGTCCATTAGGAGAAGATTGCAGACTGAGAAAGTAGTTGTGTAAAACCTTAAGAGGGGTGGAAAGAGGAACAGAGGTTTCAGAATGCTGTTGAGGTGTAAGCATGGAGAAACAACTGTGACAATCCATGAAGTGGGATTAATAACAGGAAAATGTGGGCAGACATAATTGGGGGGCTCTGGATTAGTAGAATCAAGAAGATTGAGAGCAAGGACCAATGCTTCTGTAAGTGGGAATTGTCTGGATGAATTTCTGATAGAAAGTGCCAGGTCTTGCAGTCATTTTTTTATGTCTCCCCTTTGTATATGAGTGTATGTGGATGTGGGATGGGGGCAAGACAAGGTACCAGCTGGACTTATTAAAATGGATGAGGCTCAACTGAACAAGTAGAAAATTTGCAGTCAGCTCCCTCTTTTCTAGTATAATGCCCATTCTGAATTTACGGGTATGGGATTTGAATATGAATCTTAGAGTGCTTAGGGATTTGAGAATTTTCATGCTATCAAATTTGTCACCTATTTACTTCCTATATGGGAATATTATTGAATAGTTGATAAAATCTCTTCCATCTGAATGCAATTAAGAGTTATAAATTCATTGATTTTTTGGTCTGACATTTATTCTTCAACGAAGATTTATTGCGTGCTTTGTGCCAGAGATTGGAGACACTACTGGTAGACAAAATAGGCTTGGTGCTTGCCTTCAGTAATTATTTATACCCTGTGAATAGTTACAAGTTATAAGAAATACTAGGAAGGAAAATACAACATGATGGTAAGAATGTATAATAGGGGTAACTAATTTAATCTGGGGTAAAAGCTGTGCCTCCCTGAGGAAGTGATGGCTGAGTTGACTGCTAGGTGGAGAGGTAGGAAGAACATTCCTGACTGATATTAACCACAAAGATGCTGAGAAGGAGGGCTCTTGGGATATTTGAAGAACTTCTAGAAAACTGCTAAGGGTGCAGGGAAAAGTGAGAAGACAAGAACAGTGTGATATCAGGCTAGACATGGAGTCCCCTGGTGAATGGCCACCGAGGCAGCTAGGACAACCACTGGAGGGGACATAGCTAGAACCACAATATATATTTTAACTCCCATGAATTATAGGACTTATTAGTGAGGTCAAGTCATCAAGTATAGCCTTGGCCTTGACTCTGGCTCTTCGTTGGACATGATCTTAACCTGGACATGAAAGAAGACCTTGGGTCCCCTTGCACTGACACAACTGCTTGTTGTTCCTGCAGAGAATTATGGGAAGTGAAGGTGAGACGAGTTAAAGAAGGTAACTACAGACAACGCAAGATGTAACAAAGCGAGACACTCTTGTTTCTTCACGCCTGCTTATTTTTTTCCTCTTTCTTCAGTATCCTGTGAAAACTTTGAGTGAAATGCTTTGGAGCTCTTGGGTTTAGGGCCGTGTATCTTTTCAGGGCTGTTAGAAAGGCAAGAACATTTCAGAGTGGTTTGGTAGCAATTTGTGGTTCCTTTTGCTTTTCTTGGCAGCAGGACTAGGTTTGCCTGGCAGAGCTCTGCCCGGATGTGCGATTGAGGCCCTGCATTTTAAGAAGACTGGCTCAATGGCTGAACTTTTTCAGGGCTCACTTCACGATTGTATTCCAGTTCACCGAGTGTTGATCCAGAGGTTTGTGGCCTAGGTTTGATGGAAATCGTAGTCAACAAACTAAAAAAGAAAAGTCAGTAAAATTAGGGAGTAGCTGTCTTAGGTAAGGGATAATATTAGCAATTGAAATCTCAGAGGAAAAAAACAACATTGTGTTCCCGAACTTATGTTTTCTAAGAAAAGTTACCTCCAAACATAAGAGAAAGAAAGAATGTTGTTAATAATTATTTGGAAAGGGGAACAGGGTGTTAGGAATAAAACAGTATCCAGGTGCTAATAAATGATACTGCTAAGGAAAGTAGGATCCTTCTAATTCACTGTTTACTCAGCCTTTGATTAAAAAAAAAAAAAAATCTGTGAATCCCCAATCTTAATTTAGAACAAACACCTAGTTGCTATCTTTCTTTCTCTTAATAAGGAAAATAACTTTATAAGAAAAATACTTTTGGGATTTGATACAAGGCTTTTCTCAGAATTATCAAATAATTTCATAAAGAAATAGTGAGAAGAAATATTAATAGAACACACATCACTTTCCTGGATTTGTTGAGGCCACAGGGGCCTGGCCTGGGTCTTTGATTCAGTCCTTTAATTAAAACATTTAGCATCTGACCACATGAGCTGACATCAAACAAAGAAATTCCCATGAAGATAGAAAACTTTCTCTCCATCTTTTTGGCCATCATGAAGACATCACGACTGAATTTCATAATGTTCCACCAGAAAAAAGGGAAGGGAAAGCTGCTTAACTGGATTAATTCTTTGCCATGATTAGAAGAAATTGGAGGTAGAGATTAAAATACCTGCAATCACTCTCAAAAAGTATTTCTACTTCACATAGGATCAAAGTGAAAAAGAGACAGTCACTCTAATTCACATTTTTATGGCTTTTCTGTTGGGCATAAAGAATTTGCACCAACCCTGACATTCAGCCTCAAGTTATCTCCTGGAGAAGATGCTGACATATAAGAGTGATTTACCCAGAACTCACAATTCATCTTTTTCCATTGTTTCCTTTCTCTTTCATCTGCACTAAGTAAATGGAATGAATTCACACTCTTTTCATTAGAATTCATCAGGCAATAAGTGTAGCTAACAAATGTTTTAATCTGCCCGACCTCTCTACTTAATGAGACAGTTTCTGCTTCAAGAATGGATTATATTTAGACCGAGTTCTCAGTCTGAATTGAGATTTCTATGAAGTAACATCTCTTTTTCATCAGCATAGAGAATGGGATAAAAATAGAACTTCCTGACTTCTCTTTTGCTAATGCATGTTAACAAGAAAAGAGTGAATGAACTTGACTTGTAGCTTACTGCTCCTCACACCTGAGGTGGATGATTCCCTTTCTTCTCTATTCAGTGACACAGTTGGACAAACACAGCTCCGGACAGGCTCGCATGTGGCTGCACTGTGTTATTGGATACAAACCATCGTCACTTTTGAGTGAGGAGAACAGTAGCAGCCATAATATAGGACAACATGTTAAAGATAATAAGGAATCAGGTTTGAGGGGGCAGGCCCAGAGTCTGAGGACCCCCAGTGGGTTCTTTCTTGAGTCTTGTCTTCATTGAGGAGGGAATTCAACATTGAGACCAAAGTTACCAGAAAACGAGCTTTATTGATAGAGAGGAAGGAGGGCAGGAAAGTTCTCTGAGCCGAGAGGGGTCCTGAGTGGGTAACCACTGAGGGGGCGAGAAGTAGGTGCTTATATGGGTATAGTGGGCAAGGATGGGGTTTGGCCATTGGGTGTCTCCTTGTGTTTCTTGCTGGTTGGCTGGGCCCAATGAGTTTTCCCAGCCTACCTTTTGGAAACCAGCTTTGATCCGTTGCTACTGTGCTATTATGCCATTATGTTAGTGTTCTGAACATTCTATTTTTTAATTGTATTGGTAGGGGGGCCTTCCTGGTCTGCAATTATTTCTCAATCAGGCTGATAAATGCACTTGGGACTTGGGGCACCTGTTTCTTTTTTTTTTTTTTTTAAGATTTATTTATTTATTCATACAAGCACTGGGTACAGTCAGAAGCACGGGAGGGCTAGAGAATTCACCAGAGCCAGAGCAGGGAACAGAACAGGCAGAAGGACCGAAGTACACTGCTGAGAGGAGCAGCGGGCGGCAGGAGAGGTCTGCGCGCCATGTGGGACCCTCACCCAGTGAGGCCGGGGATTGAACCGGCGCTGCAGAGGCTGCAGGCAACTTCGCAACCCAGTGCTCAACCACTGCGCCACCGGGGGAGGTGGGGCACCTGTTTCTATCTGACTGTCTGCACCCATTTCCTAACTTCCTCTTTCAAGAATGGCTACGCTGTGTGCCAGGATCTGTGTGC